TATGTGTGTGTACTGGAAAGTGACCTTTGAATGATAAATGTCTTTGCCTGGTCCTATATTTCTATCTCTCTCTCTCTGTGTGTGTGTGTGTGTGTGTGTGTGTTGCATACCCTTGAGTGATTCAGTGGTATATGTGAGTGGGTACCTAGATACATATCTACCCGTTTCTATGTAGATGAGGATTGTGTGTGTGTGTTCGTGCACGTGCACTCGCATGTGCATGTAGGAGCACCTAGTTGTGCTTATCAGCTGGTATTGCAAATTTGAATCTTCATGTACCTATGTGCCCCTGTGGACATATCTATGTGTGGTGATGTTTTCATGTGATGTGACTAAATGTAAATGTGTTAGGGCACTCACAATCCAGCACCCAGAGAAAGTGAAATCTTTGTATGGCACAGTGTGATAAACTGAAAAGTATTTGGGGTTCTGAGACTTGGTGAAAAGAAATTCTTTGCATTGTCTCATATGAGGAAAAAACAAAAATGCAAAGTTTGGGGGACTTATTAAGTACTGAATTTGATACAACTTTCATATGAAATATTTTCAGAATTTTTTCATGACACACTTGAGCTCGCTTCTAGAATATAACTTTTTAACTCACTAATGTAAATTTATAGTGGTCAATATCTGTACACACTTCTTCTGAGCCTTTAGTTGTAACTGCCTGGGTTTATTTTATGGTCATTTGATTAATTTCTGTCATTTTAAACCTTGGTTTGGTAAATCTGTTGGTGTTGAGCTTAAATCTTCTACATCAAGTTATTTTGCTTCTTTGTAAAAAAAAATAAACAAGTGAAGCAAATAACAACTGGTAGTTTGGGCATGGATAAAATATCCATCATGGTTTGCCATTTCTTGATCCTGGAAGCCATGTTATTGAAGGTAAGGCCCATTCCATGAATAGTGTTCAGGCACATTTTGCCCCAAGTCTTTCATAATTAGCTTGAATGTGTGAAACATAAATGCATGATTCTGCGGGTCAGCAAAGCTCACCTCAAAAACATGAGCCTTGAGGTCATTGGATACCATTGTGGTTTCTCTGAAGCATCAAATGCAGTTTCCACTGTTCAATATAGCTGGTGCTTCCATACCACACCACTTAATCTTAAGAAATGGAACAACTACTCGTTCATGCCTCCCTTTTCCACCTCCCCTTTATAACTCACTTGCTCTTGCCATGGTCAGAGACCCAGGTTTTAGGCTCAAAGTAGCTACATGATCTTTTCTGTCTCTTGGTCGTCACCATCAATAGGAAACTGCTTGCAAAAGTAGGTGGCAACAAATGGTCAAAGAATATACATATTACTGATTAAAACTCCTTGAGGGGGCTGGGGTTGTGCCTCAGTGGTAGAGTGTTTGCCTAGCATGTGTGAGGCACTGGGTTCAATTCTCAGCATCTCGTATAAATAAATAAATAAAATAAAGATCCATCAACATCTTAAAATTTTAAAAAAAAATTCTTAAGGTGGGGATGTAGCCTAGTACACAGGAGGCCCTGGGTTCAATTCCTCGCACTACAAAAACAAATAGATACACAAAACAATTTATTTCTCACCAATAATCAGAATTTGGATAATACAGTCCTTGAATCTGGGCTGGGTTGTGGCTTAGTGGTAGAGCTCTTGCCTAGCATGTGTGAGGCACTGGGCTCATTCCCTGGCACCACGTACAAAATAAACAAATAAAATTTTTAAAAAGAGAAAGGATCTTTCTTAAATCTACCACCTCTTTCTCTTCTTTCAATCAAATGTGATGTTGAGATTTCTTGAAATCAATATTCATGAATTTTGAATCCAACAAAATTTTAATTTTCAGTATCTCAAAATAATGATGGAGCTTTTCCCCAGAATAGAAATTAGTGTTTCTCTACACATCCTAATAAGTCTTATTTCATATTCAAATTGTAACACCAAGTAAACATCACCCAGGGAATCATACTTGACCTCACTTCTCTCAAGTTGAAATTTTGCTTTGAATCTGTAAACCTTGTCAGCACTGCATACTCTGTTATACAATATATTTGAGTGTTTTTAAATTTTTGAATGTATTTTTATTCATGTGCTCAAAAAGCCATTTGTTGAGGCCAGTAAGCATCAAATCTGTAAAGTAAGAATCATTACAAAGAAATGCTTAAACGTTTCCTTTATATATATATATATATATAAAAAAAAAAAAATATATATATATATATATATATATATATATATATATATATATATATTTTACAAAATCCCTACACAAGTAGGTTTAAAACACCAGAGAAGGTTGTACCGATCCCAATTCTTCAGAGAAAGCTGAAAGATAGGTGAGGAGTGTCTTGGATGTAGTTAAATTCACACAGCATCATTTACTGTGGAAGTGATGCTGGTTTACAGGCCAACTTTTACAGGTGAATGAAACTCAGTATTATCAGAACAAACTTTCTGCCAGCAAACAGCAGCATTGATAGACTTATGCAGAGTTTCCACAGTATCTCAAAATATTCATGTACCAATTTGCATATTTCAACCTTAGTTCATTTTGGTACTTCTTTCATTTCTCTTCAGGGTTTCTGACTGTTATAAACTAAGCACAGTTAGATGACACCCACAGATGCATCACTATTAAGATGAAAACTCTTTTGATTCAACAGTCTTCTAGGTTAGTGTCATCTCAACGTCCTTTGACCTTTCATTAGTATGTCCCTAATAGCAATAATTGAGAACTACAGGGGTTTTTTTTGTGTGTATGTATGGGGGGGATAGGCACTGGGAATTGAACCCAGGGCCCCATGCATACTCTACCATTAAGCTACACCCCAGTACTTCCTAATAGCAATAGTTGAAAGTGTCCCCTTTCCTATTCCCTTAACCTCATTGGTCTCAAATATAGTGTGGGACAATTTCCCTGCCATGAAGGCCTAGATTTACCTTTACTGAATCAACTCAGTTAAGTCACATTTCATTCATTTACTGATGAATATTTTTACCTAAAAACGAAAGGTAGAAATTAATGATGAGGACTGGCATTGTGGCTCAGTGGTAGAGTGCTTGCCTACTTAGTATTTGTGAGGCACTAGTTTCACTCCTCAGCACCACATAAAAATATTTTTTAAAATAAATTAATGATGAAATACCACCAAGAATCCAATTTGGCTTTTTTTTTTTGTACTAGGAATCAAACCCAGGGCACTTTACCACTAAGCTACTCCCCAGCCCTTTTAATTTAATTTAATTATTCAAGACAGGGTCTCTCAAAGTTGCTGATGCTGATCTCAAACTTGCAATCCTCCTGCCTCAGCCTCCCAAATTGTAATCCCAAATTGCTGGGATTACAGTAGTGGGTGGTGCCCCAATGCACTTTTTAATGTAACCTATTTGTAATATCCTTTTACTATCTGGAGACAGAATTCTTAAATAATATAAGCACTCTACACATGCAATTTCAAAAAGAAAATCCATACAGTTTTTTTGTTTGTGTGTGTGTGTGTGTGTGTGTCTGTGTATGTTATTAAGGATTGAACCCACAGGTGCTCTACCACTGAGCTACATCCCCAATCCTTTTTATTTTTTTTTTATTTTGAGATGAGATCTTGTGAAATTGCCCAGATTTGCCTCAAGCTTGTGTTCCTGCTGCCTTAGCCTCCCAAGTCACTAGAATTTTTTTAAGTTATAAATGGACACAATACCTTTATTTTATTTGTTTTCATTTTTGTGTGGTGCCGGGGATAGAACCCAGTGCCTCATGCATGCTAGGCAGGCGTTCTACCACTGAGCCACAACCCTGGCTCCAAGTCACTAGAATTTTAAGTGCACCACCACACTGGGCTCATATAGTATTTTATACAATATGCATATTTTATTAACTATAATACTAATGTGAAATAAAAGGGAAATGATTTATAAGAAAATAATGTATATTTCAATATGTAAATGCTTGGGTGTGGCACTCTTTAGGATATTCAAGAAAGAAATTAGTGGCTCATAAGACCCTATAATAAATAAATATGGATTTAGGAGATGGGGGAAAGTTCAGGAAAATGATAGGCAAAATCATTTGGATGAGAGTTTACAAAATAGTAAATCGTGCCAAGGGAAGTGCACCACAAATCAAAGTACAGTCTCATCTCAACTTACAAAGACAGACACATTCCTGGATAATTCAGGGTATATTAGAACCAGAAAAAAGAAATGGCATTTGACTGAAGTAGGTTACAGTCTAGCTTCTGTTAATTATAAGTTCAAAGTCCTAGGGGATGCAGGACATATGGTGGTGGTGTGGTATTGCCATGCAGATCACTGGCTGGCCAGCATCCTTGCCCTGGACCCCTAAATAGGACACCTTACACTCCATTATTGTGGCAACCAAAAATGCTCCTACAAATTTCCAAAATGTCCCCTAGGGGGCAGTAATGGCTTTGTTGAGAAAGGCACTGGTTCTTAGGCATTGTACACTGTGTCCCTGTGTGAAGAGGCAGAGTATAAGATCGACTTCCATCTCGTGTGTGTGTGTGTGTGTGTGGTGTGCACGCGTGCGTGCGCGCTTGTGTGTGCATACGTGCCCAGGAGAGAGAGAGAGAATGTGTTTGTTATTCATGTATGAGTTGGTTGCTGTCCAAAAGGCTCCATAGCCACAGGTTGTGTTTGTGGAAATCTGTGAGTGTGTATGTTTGCATGTGAGAGTGCCCAGGCACCAGCACAGGTGTGATCTGTGGGTGCACACACATCCTTAGCCTTATCTGGGACCCAGTTGTGGCTGCTAGTCTGTGCTCAGGAGCACCCCATCATCACTTACAACAATCTCCCCAGTTTTCCCAGAAACACCAGGGCTTTGTTTGCTGCCATTGTTTTGTAAGGGTTTTTTATTATTATTATTATTTGGGTTTTTTCTGTTTTAGCTTTTGTTTCTACTGAGACTCAAGGTTACTCATTATTCACCTTCTCAGTCTTAGCGTGTCTCTCTGTTTCCCCCCATCTTTATTTTTGTCTCTCTATCTTTCATTTACCATCTCTCTCTAGTCTTCTAGATCTTTCTTTCTGTTGTCATCCCTCTTCTTCCCCCCTCTCCTTTCCTATCTCTGACTCTATTCCTTTTCATTTTCTGTTGTGATGTTTCTCTATGTGCCTGTCTGTATCTTTTTTCTCACTCTTCTTCCCCTTTCTGTCTCTATTTCAATCTCTTCCTTTCTCTTCTTTCTCTGTTTATCTCTTTCCCCCTCCTGTGTCTCCATCTGTCTCTCTCTCACACACACACCTCTCTTTTCTTTCACTAAAGAAAGTGTCTCTCTAAATTTCTCTTACATTCAGTCTCTATTTCTGTCCCTTTCCTCTTGCCTCCCCTAAAGGCTAAGGAGTGTGTGTGTGTATGTGCACATACTTGTGCACAGGCATGGGTGTATGCACATGTACACACACCCAGATGAAGGCTGCCCTTCAGACCTTGAGGGACTGAAAGAGAGCCCACCCCTCCTTCTCCTAACACCTGTCCTAGACCCCTCCTATGCCAGTAAGCCAATGACTCTGAGACTTCACAGAACCATAAAAAACAAAACCAAACAAAAAACAAAAGACAAAAAAAAACCCACAAACTGGTTCTAGGAGGCTGTGGCAGACTAGGTAGGACTGGGTCAGGAAATAGTATAGAGAGAAAACTTTAGGAAGGAGGTGGTAGGAAAATATCCATTCAAGCTCCACCTCCTCCAGCCCAGCCCAGCCCAGCCCAGCCCCAGCCCCAATAGCAATTGTGAGTTTCTCCAGCTTCTGTTCAAGTAGCTCAGCTACCTTCCCTCTGGGCCTTGCCCAGTTGCCTTATCAAATCCCAAAATTCTCTACCTGCACACACCAGATCCTCTCCTGATTTCCCCAAGCTCAGCTGTGCCACTCTCACTACCAGACACAATCCCCAGACCATTCTTTCAGCAAATCCTACATGGATGCCCCCAGGGAGTCCTCTCTACTCACCAGCCCATTTAGTCCCTCAGTCAATTTATTTGACATCTTTTCTGAGAACCTACTGTGTGCTCTGTACTACTCCTATATAGGGCTGAGGTTGTGGCTCAGTGGTAGGGTGCTCGCCTAGCATGTGTGGGGTGCTGGGGTCAATCCTCAGCACCACATAAAATAAATAAATAAAGATTATGTGTTCGACTACAGCTAAAAAATATTTTAAAAATAAATTATATCGTGTGTTAGCAAGAGAAATTCTAGGAAGAAAAAATAAAGGAGAGAACCAGGAATGGGAGTGTTGTGACCTCTCCTCTCACCTGTATTACTTCAGGATCCTCCTGATTAGTCTCCCCACTTCCACCATTGCACCATATGATCTGTTCTCAGCAGCAAGTGGGATCCTGTTCAGTCCTAAATCATATCACTCCTCACCTCTGCTCAAAACCCATCTCATTCTGAGTCAAAGTCAAAGTCCTTACCATGGCCTCTGTGGTCTCTCCTTGCCACCTTTCTGACCTCACCTGGAAGCACTTGCCCTTTGCTCATTCTGTTCTACCAACTCCTTCCTTGCTTTTTCTCAAATGTGCCATACATTGCCCCACCCCAGGGCCTTTGTTCAGGTTGTTCCTATTGCCTGGATTTCTCTTCCCTCAAATAGCCATGTGACTCTCTTCCTCACTTCCTTCAGGTCTTTGCACAAATAACATTTTCTCAGTGAAAATTTCCCTGTCTGCCTCATCAAAGACTGCAACACCTTCCCCAGCCCTAGTACTTCCTATTCTTCTTCCCTCCTTTATGTTTATTCATAGGAATTTGTCATCATCTGATATACCAACTTCGCCTGTGTTTCAGTGTCATCTCCACAAGGGCAGGGATCTTCATCTGTCTTGTTCATCTGTCTTGTCCTCAGTACTTAGAATAGTGCCTGGCATACAGTAGATACTCAATAAATAAATATTTTTTCAATGAATGAATGAACACATACAAGCATGCTTTCATCTGTGTATTCATGCATATTCCTCATCTCACCCAAAGTAAAAACCAAAGTCCTCTTCATGGCCCACAGTCTATACTACTTGACCCTGGACATGTGTATGACCTTACCTCCTACCACTGTCTCCCTCACCTATGCTACTTTTGTGACACTAATCTTTCCATTGTTCCTGGAACATGCTGAATGCATATCTGATCTTGAATAAAGAAATCTAGGGGCCAGAGTTGTAGCTCAGTGGTAGAGCACTTGCCTAGTACATGTGAGGCATTGGGTTCAATCCTCAGCACCACATAAAAATAAATAAATAAAATAAAGGTATTGTGTCCATATACAACAACAACAAAATTTTTTAAAGAAGCCTTGTTATCCTAAGAAAAAATTTTAAACAGAAATCTATTTGATGAATGACTGCCAGCATTTTTTTTTAAAAAAAGATGAAATAGAAGCCATGCATGGTGGCACACACCTATGATCCCATCAACCAGGGAGGCTGAGGCAGAAGGATCAAAAGTTTGAGGACAACTTCAGCAACTTAGCAAGGCTCTAAGCACCTAAGTAAGACCCTGTCTCAAAGTAAAAAATTAAAAGGCCTGGAGATGTAGCTCAATGGTAAAAGGCCCCTGGGTTCAATCCCCAGTACAAAAGGAAGGAAGAAAGGAAGGAAGGAAGTGATTTGCAGGGGGGGGAAGAAAGAAAAAAGTAATAAAATAGAATGGAGTACACTACACATGGGATCAGTTCTGTTTTTTGAAACTTGGTGAGTTGTGTGTGTTCATGCACATATGTGTACTGGGTTGTGGTGTAAAATATCCTTTTTACTGTGGGTGGTGGTCAAAAAAGTTTTAACACAACTTTGAGGCTTTAAAAAGGGGGAAAGGAGCCCCAACAACATTCCTGTCCCCACAGACGCACAAGTGGAGGAAATGGGTAACTGAGGACATCCAAAGAGATGAAGCATCTGCACCCAGCAAGGAAGGGGTAGGAGCAGGAGTGGGCCAGACTCAGGACCTGACCCTAACTAGGGAGTCAGTGGGAAGGGTTCACAGACACACTAACCCTGGCCTCTATGTTTCTTCCTCACCTTTCCTTTCCACCCATTTCTCACTGTCTCTCATTTATCTCTGTTTCAATCACTCTTTTTTATCCTCTTATCCTTTCCACATCTGTGTTGTTTTATATCCATTTATAACTTCGTCACCATTTCTCTCTCTCTCATTCTTTCCTACTGTCTCTGCATATTTGTGTGCATTTTTCTGTTTCTCTCCTTTCCTCACTTCTCTGTCTCTCTGTGTCTGTGTCTCCCTTACTGTCCCCACTTACAGGTGCAGCCCAGCAGGACAACTGATGGAGTCCCCCAGGGCCCATCAAGTATCGGACTGGCTGACCCCCTAGGGTTGGGAGTAGCCCTTGCCCCTCAGTATGGCCAACACCACCGGAGAGCCTGAGGAGGTGAGCGGCGCACTGTCCCCGCCGTCAGCATCTGCTTATGTGAAGCTGGTGCTGCTGGGACTGATCATGTGCGTGAGCCTGGCGGGCAACGCCATCTTGTCCCTGCTGGTGCTCAAGGAGCGTGCCCTGCACAAGGCTCCTTACTACTTTCTGCTGGACCTGTGCCTAGCTGATGGCATACGCTCTGCCGTCTGCTTCCCTTTTGTGCTGGCTTCTGTGCGCCACGGCTCCTCATGGACCTTCAGTGCACTGAGCTGTAAGATTGTGGCCTTTATGGCCGTGCTCTTTTGCTTCCATGCGGCCTTCATGCTGTTCTGCATCAGCGTTACCCGCTACATGGCCATTGCCCACCACCGCTTCTACGCCAAGCGCATGACACTCTGGACATGCGCAGCTGTCATCTGCATGGCCTGGACCCTGTCTGTGGCCATGGCCTTCCCACCCGTCTTCGATGTGGGCACCTACAAGTTTATCCGGGAGGAGGACCAATGCATCTTTGAGCATCGCTACTTCAAGGCCAATGACACGCTGGGCTTCATGCTTATGTTGGCCGTGCTCATGGCAGCCACACATGCTGTCTATGGCAAGCTGCTCCTCTTCGAGTACCGTCACCGCAAGATGAAGCCAGTGCAGATGGTGCCAGCCATTAGCCAGAACTGGACATTCCATGGCCCTGGGGCCACAGGCCAGGCTGCTGCCAACTGGATCGCTGGCTTTGGCCGTGGGCCCATGCCACCAACTCTGCTGGGTATCCGGCAGAATGGGCATGCGGCCAGCCGGCGGCTGCTGGGCATGGACGAGGTCAAGGGTGAAAAGCAGCTGGGTCGCATGTTCTACGCGATCACACTGCTCTTCCTGCTCCTCTGGTCACCCTACATCGTGGCCTGCTACTGGCGAGTGTTTGTGAAAGCCTGTGCTGTGCCCCACCGCTACCTGGCCACCGCTGTTTGGATGAGCTTCGCCCAGGCTGCTGTCAACCCAATCGTCTGCTTCCTGCTCAACAAGGACCTCAAGAAGTGCCTGAGGACTCATGCCCCCTGCTGGGGCACAGGAGGTGCCCCGGCTCCCAGAGAACCCTACTGTGTCATGTGAAGCAGGCGGGTAGGCAGACAGGCAGGGAAAAGGTCATGGCCACCATGGTGAGGCCAACAGCAAGGGAGGGGTGGGGCCCCATACAGGAGCCTTCTTTTCTGAGCTCCAGCCCCAGCCCCTCGAACCACCCATAATCCAGGCACCTTTGCCAATACCACCCTAGGGTGGGGGACTGGGAAAGAGGCATCCTAGTTTTGTGGGGCCTGTGTCTGCAGCCTCCTTCTCTACTTCTACAGTCTCTCTCTCTCTCTCTCTCTCTCTCTCTCTCTCTCTCTCTCTGACAATTCAGAAAAAGAAAACAAAACTGAAAATGCAGGTTTTTCTACTAACAGATAAGGAGGCAGGCTTTCTTGCTTTAATGTCTCTCCTTCTGACATTGTCCAGAAGGGGGAAATTTGTCCTGTAAAATAGAATTCCAGAGCTCTTATTGCCCCTTCTGCTCCCAGGCACCCTCCCCTTCCAAGTCCTTTAGCAAGGCCTGGATGTTTAGGGAGAAACTTATCCAAGGCTGCCAACAAGAGGGACCAAAAGGGGTGCTAGGTCCCCAGGGAGCAAGGATGTTTATTGCTATGTTGTGTGCAATGTCGTTTTTGGCTAATGCTGGTCCCAACCCAGTCTTCTCTCCCTCCCCACCATGTCCAGACCTCTCTAGTGCTTCTTGAGGATCTATTTGAGAAGCCAAGAGGGTAGAGAAAAGGGCCCCCATGATGGCCCAAAAAACTAGGTAAAGAGTAGGATGTGAGTGAACTCCTTGAGCCGAAGAGATCGAGCGTAGCCACATTCTCTCACACCATCTCCTGGATCCCTAGCCCAATAACTCTTCTTCCTGAGGATGGAAACCCACTCCAGCCCCACTAGGGCTGTAGGTGTCATGCAGGCAGGAGCAGCCCCTCAGATGTGTAGGGAAGAAGCTGAACTCCCCAGAGTACCTTGGACCCCAGAGCCTGAGGTCAGAGCTGAATTCAACCCCAGAATTTCTCCCAGGTTCACGTTACTCTTCTGAAGATGAGAATTCTTTTTGGGCCTTGGTAACTGATAATGGTATAAACCCCAAGGCACTATGGACTTGAGTCCATTCCTATCTGACCTCTTTTTGTCCCCCTAAAGCCTTGGGCCACAAGCCCCTCCTTGGTAGCCCTTGGCCTTCTGGGTCAGCCCCAAATGTCCTTCCTCACAACAATCCTTCAATCCCTTCCTCCTTTCCACCCTTACCTACACCCAAAGTGGAGCAGACTGCAACCAGATTACTTAGGTGGGAGTTTCCAAGCCTCCCTCCAGGGACAGAATCTACTCTGGGCTTACTTCAAGGCTAGTTCTATGAATTGGTAAGCCAAGTTGGCACTCCTTTACCTGGCCTTGCCCAGGCTTTCTGTCCCCCTATAATTTCCTTCAGGGGCAGGGATCTATCTGTATTTATCCACCCCCCTTTACCTTTCTTACAGAAGCCCCTGTCCTAAGATCCCTCCCTACCCCAAGACAGCCCCTGAACTGGGGAAGCCTTGACCCAAAAGAAATGAGGAGGGCACTCTAGGCAGGAGAGACATTAATGAGCCTAGCTGTGGAGTGACCCTGGAAAGGCAGGCCAGAGTGGCTGAGAGGCTGGGAGTGTGGGGGGGGTACCTGTTCTCTCAGTGATAGTGATGGGGGTGCCTTTCCGAGGGGTGGGGTGGGAAGACCAAGGGGGTGGGGGGTAGATAGGGTACACTCAGGAGGGTTTTCCTCCATTTCTTTTTTCTAACTGCCTGGATTCACCATTGGATTTTGTAAATGGAAAAACGAAATGAACAATGCTATATTGGATGTTTTCTCTTTCTGACTGTGTGTGTGTGTGTGTGTGTGTCCTGTCTGTGTGACCATACGTGGGGAAGTATGACTGAGTAAGACAGGATGTGTCTGTGTGACTTTGTGTGAGGAGACACCCCTGAGGAGAACTTGCCTGGTGCACACATATGAGTAAATGCCTGTATGCAGAGATGTGTACATTGCATGTGCGTTCGCGTGCACACACACACACACACACATCCATCTAGTTGAGAGGAGACAAACTAGAGTATGTGCCTGCAGCAGGAAGTAGTGTGTTCAGGAGATAGAACCTGGAAATTATGTGTATGTATTTAGAAAGAGGGCTGACTCCCATCGTATAAGATCATCCTCTCTTGGCCCAAGCTCTGAGCACCAGGTGAAAAAGGCAGGGTACTTGAGAACCCCTCTCCTCCCAAAGCCTGGAGTCTCAGTCCCCTTCCTCAAACTCAAACAAGATGTTCTTGAAATTGGATGACCATGGAGAATGGGGAAAGGGAATTGGGGATAAAATATTGGGGAAACTGATGGGGTTAGGAAATGCCCCCCCAAAGTAAAGGCACTGGAGAAATTGCTCAGTCTGGGCTAGGAGCCTTTCCCAAGGATCCACTATATACAGCTGGGACTTTGGTCAACTTTGATTAAATTCAGAGGCAGGTGCAGCAGGTCTGGGGTCTACCCAGCTGGCCTACTCCCTGCACGCTTGATTTACTATTTATTTATTTATTTATTTATTCTCTCAGGTGCACAGAACTGAGTGGACCATACTCCTCAGTTCTTGGCACAATATATCATCGTTGGTCCATGCAAGGCCCTTTTATTTTTTGTTTTGTTTTGTCCCCTTCATCACCCATCCCTGATCCCATCCTCCCCCACTCCACATAGGCACCCACTCGTGTATTTAACGTTGTCCTTCCAATCCACCGATCATGTGTTTCTTTACATATGTGTATCTGTGTAAAATATATGGTATTGTTGTGTTTTAATTTACATAAACAGTATTGTACTATAAATCTTGTTCTGTTTCTTTTTTCACTCAACATTATGTTTTTGAGATCCAGCCATATTGCTATATATAGATCTAATTCATTTTAGTGGTCCATCTTAAACATATATCACATTTTTCCAATCCATTGCCCTGGTGATGGATCCCTAGGTTCACTTCCATTCTTTGCTACCACAACAAGGCTGCAATGGGAAGCTACCTACATCTCTTTAGGAACTAGGGATGCCTAATTTAGAGAAGAAGCTCAGAGAGGTGCAGTGATTTGATTAGGGTTACAATGTGAGGGTCATACTCATTCCAGACCCAAAGCCAGAATTCCACTAACCACCATGCCTCGCCAAAGACCATCCATCTCTGGTCAAAAACAAAATCTTAAGATATAATTAAAAGCAGTATACACGGAGGAAAGGATGGAAGGGAAGAGAACTGTTCAACAGATTAAGAGATAGAAAGTCCTAGAAAAATCTAGCAGATGAGCTGAATCGCTATCATTTTTTATGACGCAGAGGCAGTTACTTTTTTTGTGTAAGTATTGTTTCTAGAACCATTTTGCAGAGATGGAAAATGCCACGTCAAAACTTAGACCCCAAATCAAAGACCTTGAGTGCCTAAACTGCAGGAGCGCTAGGGCAGCCGGCACCCTAAGTGGATACATTAGAGTTGACCACGGGGGCAGAAGCAAGAGATGGGGGAAGGGGCAGATTTAAGAAGTGCGTAGTTGCTGAGGAGAGGGGGGCGGGGGAACGATAGCGAGGCTCTTCGATTTTATTTGAGCACATCCTGCTCACTGCGTTTGTTTTTCGTCTTGTTTTTTGGTCTTCAGAACCACTGGTACTTTTCCCATTGGATAAACGTTTTAAGAGTGAGGGAGAGGGGTTTCTTCCCCTAGCTTTCCTCGCAACCAATCGTTTGGCAGTTTTCCTCTCTTCGCCGGGGTAGCTAGCCCGCTGATTCGCGGGTTTGAGGAGAGCCAATCGCAAAGTGATGATGTGTAGTGTTGGCAAGCAGATTGCGTGAGAGCGGGCAGGGGTCGCAGGAACGCGAGCGCCGCCGCGGCGGCCGGTAGCCAATGATGAGGCAGGCAGGCTCCTTGCGTCAGGCACTGGGCGGGGCCTCGGGATTGGCGCGGAGGGAGTAGGGCAATCGCTGTGGGAGGGAACGCCAGAGCGAGGCGGTGAGCGGAGCTGGTCGCGTGAGGCGCAGCGGCTGCACTTGAGGTGTAACTGGTAGCGGCGGCCGGCCAAGAGCAAAGGAGCTAGTGCTATCTCCTGAGCTTGTGAGCGCGGTCACCATGGACCGCCCGGATGAGGGGCCTCCGGCCAAGACCCGCCGCCTCAGCGGCTCGGAGCCCCCTCAGCGCGATCCGCCGCCGCCGCCTCCCCCGCCGCCGCCACCGCCGCTCCTGCGACTGCCTCTCCCTCCACCCCAGCAGCGCCCGAGGCTCCGCGAGGAAACCGAGGCGGCACAGGTGCTGGCTGATATGAGGAGGGTGGGACTGGGCCCCGCGCTGCCCCCACCGCCACCCTATGTCATTCTTGAGGAGGGGGGGATCCGCGCGTACTTCACCCTGGGTGCTGGTGGTCCCGGCTGGGATCCTGCGATCGAGTCAGGGTATGGGGAGTCGCCCCCTCCCACAGGGAGCCTGGAAACACTCCCCCCTTCCGAAGCCTCTGGGGGGAGCCTGGAAATTGACTTTCAGGTTGCAGAGCCCAGCAGCCTTGCAGGAGAGAAGGCCCTAGAAACCTGTAGCTCAGGGGGGTGGGGGCCCCAGATGTTAGTCAGTCCAAAGAGGAAGGAGGAGGCTGTCATCATAGTGGAAGATGAGGATGAGGATGAAAAGGAAAGTGTGAGGAGGAGGAGGCGGCGGCGGCGGAGGAAGCAGAGGAAGGTGAAGGAAAGCAAAGAGAGAAATGCTGAGAGGATGGAAAGCATCCTGCAGGCACTGGAGAGCATTCAAATGGACCTGGAGGCAGTGAACATCAAGGCAGGCAAGGCCTTCCTGCGTCTCAAGCGCAAGTTCATCCAGATGCGAAGACCCTTCCTGGAGCGCAGAGACCTGATCATTCAGCACATCCCAGGCTTCTGGGTCAAAGCAGTATCCTTCTCATCGATACTCATGGGCCAGAAACCCATGACAGAAAAGGAGACATGGGGGAGGGACAGAAAGGGTGAAGGGATGTCGGGAAGGGCCAGAGATGGGGGTGAGCCCCCTATCGGAAGACTGACTAGATTGGGTAGAAGAGGGATGGAAGGAGGAGGGCAAAACAGCAGAGAAGCTGGACTGGAGATGTTGGGGGGAGCACACAATAAAAACTGGACCACATATGGGAAGAGTGGGGGAAGAGGAGAAGCATAACATTAAAAAAAATGGATCACAAACAGTGAAAGGGGGAGGGTAACAGGGGAGCACAGCAGAAAAATTGGACCAGAGATGGTGAAAGGAGAAGGGGAGGGGCATACAGAAGATGAACTGACTCAGACAGTGAAGAGGGAGGAGAAAGGCAGAGAAACTGCCCAGAGAGGATGTTTAAGGCACAGAGGGCTCTGCAAGCCTAGTTGTCTACTTAGACACTAGGAGACCTCAATCCTAGCTAGAGTTGGGAGGGGATGGAGGAGAGGGCACTTGGGAGGGGCTGGAGCCTCTGAAAGGCCAGGAGAGAATTACCTGGGTATGGAGATCAAGGGGTTAACTGAAGGAAAAGGGAGAATAGGAAGAATCCCATTCACTGTTCCTGATTGTTAAGCTCATCCCTGGGGAACACATATACATGTAACATGTTAGGAACACATAGGTTTAACATCTTAACAGAATTACATGGAGACAGACCCCTGGCATCCTGATATAAATATCATGTGATCACAGGCCCTCAGCACACTGGCATACAGTATCATGTAGTCACAAGATTTCAGCACCCAGACAGTGTTATGTAGCCATAGCTTCTCAGCACACAGACATATAGCATCACTTGAACACAGACTCTAAGAACCATTCACACAACATCATGTGGATGCAGACCCTTGACGCCCACTTAGAGGCCCTCAGTAACCAGATACATCATCACTTGGGGCCTTCAGCCCCCAGATACATAGTATTTTGTGTACACATACCCTCAGCATCCAGAGATATCACATGGACATAGATCCTCAGCACCCAGACACATAGCAAATATGAACCATGGCAAGGCTATCTAACACAGATTTAACATTACATAAACACAGGGTCTCATCACATAAATTGTATCATGGGAATAAAAGTATGCTTTTATAAAGTATGCTTGCTCTACACATATCACATCAATATAGAAGAAATCCTCCTGCTCCAGCCTCTCTTTTGCTCTGCCCTGCCTGGCCTTCCCTCCCTCCCTCACATTGAACAGTTAATCCTTGACCTAAACTGCTCCACTCATCAGTTCCTCAACCACCCCAGAATTTCAATCTTGATCAACCAACGAGATGAAGACATTTTCCACTACTTGACCAATCTTCAGGTCAGGCCAAAGAGGAACACCAAGGAATCTGGTCCTTAAAGGTGAGGGGGGGTGGGAGGTACCGTTGGGGGAAAAGATTCCACCATTGCCACCACCCTGAGCAGGTACAGGATCTCAGACATATCTCCATGGGCTACAAAATGAAGCTATACTTCCAGACAAACCCTTACTTTACAAACATGGTGATCGTCAAGGAGTTCCAGCGCAACCGCTCGGGTAAGTCGTGGTCCCAAGGTAAATCCCCTGTCTGTCCTTATCCAGTCCTGTTTCTATGACCTCCTCTTCCCATAGGCCGGCTGGTGTCTCACTCCACCCCTATTCGCTGGCACCGGGGCCAGGAACCCCAGGCCCACAATCGCAGGAACCAGGACACCAGCCACAGCTTCTTCAGCTGGTTCTCAAACCACAGCCTCCCAGAAGCTGACAGAATTGCTGAGGTGAGGACCCTCTTGGCATTTGCAGAGAAGGCTTTGCTAGACTTTCCCTGGGTGTCTGGGGAATTGGATGTAAGGTCTGGCACTTATACACATGGCTCTATTCCCCTTCTCTTTCAACAGATTATCAAGAATGACCTGTGGGTTAACCCTCTACGCTACTACATGAGAGAAGGGGGCTACAGGGCAAACAGAAAGAAGCAAGAAGAGAAGGAAAGGTGATGGGGGAATTGGTGGTTGAGAAATGGTTTGTTGGACATGGAGCAAAGACTAGGTTAGTGTTATACAAGATTTATGGAGCTGCAAGGGACCTTTGGGATAATCTAGTGCAATGTTTTATAAGTGAAGAATGACTCCCAGAAATGGCCTGAGGGTTACATAGTCAAGGGCAGAAATGGGACTCTTCCTAGCCTAACATCATTCCTAGGAGCCCTTGTAGCCTACTGCCTTCCCATTTACTTACCATTTTTCAGTGTTTTCCCTGGGTTTATCTCCCACTAACCCCATACTTAGCCTGAAACTTCCCCACAGTAAAGCCAAGGATGAATTTGAGATGGTGATCATGGAAGACGCTAATGACTATTATGCCATGGGAGACGTTCTCAGCGAGATCTCAGACATTGATGAGACCACTGACAATGACACTATTCATGACATCAAGATTTCTGACTTCATGGAAACCACCGACTACTTCAAGACCACTGACAATGAGATAACTGACATCAATGAGAGCCTGTGTGACAGTGAGAGCCCTAACCACATTGAGAACCCCAACAATGAGATTGCTGACAGTAGCGAGAGTGCTGATGATGAGACCACTTACAACAAGGGTACTGATGACAATGAGAGCACTGACGACAAAAATGAGAATCCTGAAAACAATGAGAATCCCAACAAAAGTGTTGATAGTGACAACAAGAACCTGGACAGTGACAACCGAGGCATCAGTGCCAACAACCAGGACAGCAGTGATAGTGACAACGGAGATGAGGGCAGTGATGATGAAGACAATGATGGCAATGAAGGTGACAATGAGGGTAGTGATGATGATGGCAACGAGGGTGACAATGAGGGAAGTGATGATGACGACAGAGACATTGACTACTACAAGAATGATATTAACATCTTTGACAAGGATCAGGATAACAGCTCCAACCAGGATGACTACGAGGATGAGGTAGAGATCATCTCTGAAGACTCAGTGGAAGAAGAAGAGGAGGAGGGCAGTGAGGAAGGTGAGCTAGACTCTTTTCTCTCAGAGAAAGCCTGGAACCAGGGTATCCAGCTACTAACACTGTCTTTTCTTCTGAAGGAAAGAAAAAACCTTCTATGCAGCTTTTTAAATAAAGGAAGGTCAGAGAGCATTTAATTTATAAATGTAACAAAAAAAGTTCAATTCTAGGTGATAGAACTGTTCTAGGTTGTAACAGAGCAAAAGACAAAAAAGTAGACAAAAATATAGGGGATAGTGGTGGAAAACTAAAAGTAAACACACACACACACACACTTACGTGGAAAAAAGTGGCAAATACATTACAGTTCAGCACTCTGTACCCAGCTCCCTGGTCTTGTGAGAACTCCCAGGCTTGTTTGGGCAGCTGAAGGTGAAGTGACAGTTTCCTTTGTAAGCTTAGAGGATGGAGCAGCTAATTCTAACTCAAGAGTGGGGAAGAGGGTGGGAGAGCTAGAAAAAGGAGGTGATACTTGAATTGGAAGCTGCATTCCCAATAAAGAGCACTGTGGAGCATTTTCATGGAATGGATAGTGTGAACAAGGACCTAGAAGAGTGAAAATGCATGGTTTGTTGGGCAAGGGTTCCAAAATTGTCTCCTGAGAACCGTTTTATCAGTTTTGAAAGTTGGTCCTCACAGAAGGGTTCAGTGGTCATACATGTTACATACAATAATTTCCTCTTATAGAATCACACATATTAGCACCTTAAAGACTAAGAAAACCTACTGTGAAAAAAAACCTATTTCGCTTTGCAGATCTCAACATGTTTAAACTTCTTGACCACAGAAATTATCAAAGAACACATTTTTGGGAAATGAGGAAGGATTGCACAAGGGGGTTTAAGGGAGAGATAAGTATTTGAGGTAACTCCTAAGTTTGGTTCTGACCCAGAAGACCATAAAAATAAACTTTAAACCCGTGTAAAGGAGGTATTTGAGTTTGATTCTAAGCAGACAGAAGAGAAGTGTCATTCCCGCCCCCATCTGGTGGAGAGGGAGATAGACTGGGTGAGAAAACCAACCACTCCTACAGATTTTGGCCATGGGCTCCCTGACAAACATCATTTCAGACAGGGGTGGGTCATCAAGGGTAATGGCGTGGGATGAGTGAGTGGCCTCAATTTAGATTTATTTTTCAGGTAGGGTAGGGGAACTGAGGGAGTTGTCAGTCCTCTTCTCCCACCTGATGGCAAGTCCAAGAATGGGAGGCAGAGCTGGTCTGCCCAACCCTGGGGTGGTAGTGGGTGTGGGGAATTGGACCGAAAAAGACAGACTGGGGCCTGTTTGCACCAGACTGGGGAAAAGAAGTGAGGGAGCTGCCTGGGGATGAATAGGTTTATTCAGCTGAGGTCTGAACTCAGGAAGAGCCAGATTGAGGAATGGGGGGTGAGGGGACAGAAAAAAAGCTACTTTCAGAAATGTATCAATTTTGACAGGACAGAGGCAGGGAGCCCACCCTGCCTTCATGCCTCCTTCCTACCCCCCCCCCCCCCGTGGGATTGAGTCTGTGGGCATGTGCTGACACAAACAGAGCTGCTTTTTCCAAGCAGAGGCGCTTGGAAAGTGGTTCCAGGCCCCTCAAAGGCCCTGGCTGTGTCTTCTGTTCCTTTTCAGAGTGACATCTAACTGCCCTCCTCGATTTCCCCTTCCTTGCCTCTCTCCCCTGTGCAGGCAGTGAGCAAAGCGAAGACAGCTATGAGGAGGAAAGAAGCTACGTGGAGGAAGGAAGTGAAATCGATTCAGAAGATTCTGACATTGAGGAGGTGCTTCAAGTCCCAAACGCTTGGGCCAACCCGGGGAAGAGGGGGAAAACCGGATAAACATCTGACCCTTTTGGGGGGGTCTCTTCTCTGTATCCCCCTCCCCCTGTCCCGTTTCCCACCCCCTCAGCTAGGGCCACGCGGCTCCACATTGCACTTCTGGGGGGTGACCGACTTCGTACACGGGTTTAAAGTTTATTTTTATGGTTTAGTAATTGCAGAGTTCTTATTTTGGGAGGGGGGAAGGGAGATTCTCCCCCTTTTTGGCCCTCCTCCTCCCGCAGGCTTCTGTGTGCTGCTAAACGTATTTATTGTGATGCCTTGGTCAGGGCCCCTCTAGCCCCCTTCTCCTTGTTAGCGTTGGCCCCAGCCCCTCTTCCTGTGGAGTGGACACCCTGATCCCAAAGCGGAGAGGGTCCTTGTAGCCTTCATCGCAGCTGTGCAGTAGCCTTGAAGGCTCTGTTGCCACCCTGTTCTACCAAGTCTCTCTCTTTCCATCCTTTCCTTCTTCCCTCCCCCCTCACCGTGCCGCTAGCCTGCCTAGGTGTCTATGCAAGGCCGCTTTGCCATTGCGGTATTCCTGTCCCCGCTCCCCCAGAAGTCCCGCCTCTTTTCCCTGTGAACCCTGATGATCCTAATAAAACTGAGCAAATTCAAAGTGCAGCTTCGAGTCTTTTGTCCGCCCTAGTGTGCAGTCTCTAGCGGCCAGTCTTCCAACAGGCCAGCACGAAACCTCCTAGCCTACGCAATCGCCTCCAAGATGGTAGTTGCTGGGGGTTCTGCAGACCTGGGGCAAGCCCCTCCAGGCCGCAAAGGCGTTGCGTCAGACCATTGCGGACCATCCTGACCAATCGCAGGGTGAGGTTGAGGAAGCCCCTCCCTGTCGCGGCGGTCGCTTTAGACCCAGCCAGGTAGCAAAGAGCTTCCCACGCCTTTCGTTTGACGCATGCGCAAAGAGATGTTCTGAGCCTGAACTTTAATTTATTCGGTGATTCATCTGTTCATTTCTAGTGCGTCAAGTCTTTCTTGGGGCCTAGTGTTAGCTAGGCGTGGGGAAGCCAGAAGAATCCATTTTTTTTCTCGTTCTTACGTAGTAAAAAAAAATAAAAGCTACGATATCGGTCCGGATATCACAACACAATCATACAGGAGCGCGCTCTTGTCTTTGGGGGGTGGGGGTGCAGAATCCCTGTAGCTGGACCTAAGGGAGAAGTCGGGAATAAAGAGGGCTGAGGCTGAGGAGTTTCTATACAGATAAAGGCAGAACAAAGGAAATTCACTCTATAGTTGTGCGGTGGGGTGGGGAATCGATGGGGTGAGGAGTCGGGAGTTGGGTATCTGAAAAGCAGGCTTTGTCTGGAAAACCTTGGAAAGACTGAGCTGTATTTAATTTTGGACCTAGTAACTTTATTTCCACGGACACCAGAAATATTTCCCACATTCGTCTGGACTATAATAACTTTTAGACAAATATTCGGGTCGGTATTTTACAATATATCTCCCGAACTTTCCATCTAACGCCTTTATTTTGCAGGAAGGATTCAGATAAGGTCAGATTTGCGTTTTAGAGACAGCCCTCTGCTGGCTGTCAGGAGAATGGATGGGAGGGAGGAAAAAGCTGTGAGGAAGTTGAAGCTATACCTCAGATGAGAAGGTACCATGGGGATGGATATGGTAGGGTTTTAAATATATATATTTATTTTAATTTCAGAGTAGTTTTATATTTAAAGAATTACTACGAAGACAATACAGAAATATCCTGTATACCCCACAGCCAGTTTCCCTGATTATCAACATCTTACTTTACTGTGGTGCATTTATTGCTGTTAATGAACCAGTATCAGCACATTATGATTAGCCGAAGTCCACTCTTTGTTCAAGTTTCCTTAGTTTTAACTCATTGTCCTTTGTATCCTCCGGGATCTCATCCAGAGTACCATACTACATTTAGTTGTCATGTTTCCTTAAGTTCCTATTGACTGTGACACTTTCTCAGGATTTCCTTGTTTTTGATAATCTGGAGCCATCAATATTTAAGAAGTACTGGTCAGGTATTCTGTAGAATATCCCTTCACTGGAATTTGTCTGATGTTTTTCTCATGATTAAACAAGAGAGAGTGTTAGTTACCTTTTGTCTCTGTGACCAAAAGTACCTGACAAGAACAACTAGGGGATGAAAAATTTATTTAGGGCTCACAGTTTCAGAGGTCCAAGTACATGATTGGCCTACTCCCATTGCTCTGGGCCTGAGATGAGGCAGAACATCATGATGAAAGGGCATGATGGAAGAAAACTGTTAGTTCATGGCACCCAGGAAGCAGAGGGGAAGGAGGAGCAGGGACAAGAGTCCCAAGGCCCATCCCCAGTGACCTACTTACTCCAGCCATGCCCTACTTGCCTACCATTACCACCCAGTAGTCCATTCCAATTTATTAATCCATCAAATGTATTAATCCACTGATGAAGTTATAGCTCTCATAATCCAATATTTTCATCTCTGAACTTGCTACATTGCCTAACATATGAGCTCTTTGGGGGATATTTCTAGATTCAAACCACAACATGGGAGGAAGACCACAGAAGTAAAATGCTATTCTAATCATATCATATCAAGGGCTTGTATTATCAACATGATTTATTGCTGTTGATGTTAACTTTGATCATATGGCTGAAGTAGTGTCTGTAGGTTTCTTCACTCTAAAGCTAGTCCTTTTTTGTGCTGCTGTAATCTTTGGAAAGAAGCCACTATATGCAGCTAATGTTTAAGGAGTGAGGAGTTATGCTGCATTTCCTCGAGAGGAAAGTATCTAAAGTAATTAGAATTCTTCTGTATGAGAAATCTGTCTATTACAAGAGAGCTTTTAAGTTACTGAAATTGCCAGGCTTTAGATATAGAAGGAGAAGGATTGAGAGGAGTCAGGCTGAGTGTCACGTTGTGGTGGAAACTTTGGCAAGGCCCCTTCCCTCTCTGGGCATGTCTCTTGAAATGGCTGGAATGCCAGATAATGAACATAATTCTCAGTGCTTCTGATAAATGTTTTGGGAAGAGAATGGAGGTTTTAATATCTCTGGTTCTGATCTTGACTCATTTTGTCAGAGCTGGGTAAAAAGGACTGAGGCTTAGAAAGGGAGAAACATTTAATCAGGTATGGTGGTGCACACCTGTATTCCCAGCTACTCACGAGGCTAAGACAGGAGGATAGCTTCAGCCTAGGGGTTTAAGACCAGCCTGAGAAACATAGTAAGATTCCATTTCAAAACAAAAAGAAACTACTTTTAAAAGAAGAAAGGGAAACAACTTGCCCAAGATAATGTAGTACCTCAGGGCTAGAACAAAGAAAAGAGTGCAGAACCTTGAATCAAGGCATCTTGTGCAGAATCGAAAGAGACATCTCCCTACACTATCTGGAGCCAGTCCCCTGAGCACATGTGAAGAGCCAAGAGAGAATGGGAGGCAGCAGGGCAAAGGCTCTGGAGTGGGCCAGGAAGGTGTGAGCCCGGCAAGAGGATCCCAGCCAGTCTGAGAGGTAGCCAGCCTGATTATTCTTGCCTCAGTCTGGTCTACCTCACAATGTGACTCCCTCATCCTCTCTAGAGGGCCTCAGTTTTCCCATTTATAATCTAAGGCAAATCATGCTGGGACATCAGTCCAGGAGAAACAACTTAAATTCCCAAGATAGAATCTAGTTTTGAAGATAGTCTCTGAAGTTTAGCCTTCTTTGTGCTCTTCCCTGATTTCTCTCTACACCCCAATCAAATTCCCAGCCCCTCAAGTTGATATATGAGGCTTCTCTTCATCCACCCTGTCAGAGAGGGCCTTTGGTCTGCAGGGACACTCTTTGGAGCCAATAATGAGATTCTAGTATAGTTGTCCAAGGTGCTCATGTCCAGGGCTAAGGCATAAGAATGAAGAAGTAAGAGACCCTCATGAAAAACAGCACCCCTTAAGATTAAGCAAGTAAAAACTCTGAAGGGGCAGATGAGACAGCTCCCATCCCTGAAAAGGGCAAATGCACTTCAGGGACTTTAACTCTTAGCTTATAAGCTATTAAAAGCATAGCATGTGCTCTCTCCCTGCTCTCCCATCTTAACTCAAGGCTCATGGGGTATTAAAAGCATTTGTGCTTTCCCCCACTCCCTCACTTCAGTCACTTTCAAATAGTCTTGTGGGCCTTAGAAACCAGGTGCATCATTAAAGCCAGAACACCCTCTTCATGACTCTCTAAGGACAAACAACATAAAAGATAAAGCTGTTGAGGACTCACTGAAACAACAAATTCCTAGGCCCTTGAACTTGTTACTTGCATGATTTATGTTTTCTTCCACTCTCCACCCATGTGCTCTCTTAACAGCTGCAACAACTCATCCTATCACAGGGCAAAGAGGTTTATGCAGGATGTGGCATCAACATGAAAAATGTAACATTTGACACCAGGATGATGGGCTGACTACCCCTACCTCATGGTTAAAGTGCTTCCCAGGAGAAGAAAAACAGCTTTTAAAATACACCTAAAACCAATTGACATTCCTCAATTCTAGTTCACCCCTACTACCCTTTCACATGAATAAAATAAGCTCTTTCTCTTTGTTTTGAGAGGCGCTTGACATTCTCTTGGTCAGTGATGTGACTCCTTTCTGCTCCAGCAAGAATTCCCAATGGAGTCTTGTTTCCATTGCAGTTGTGCCTTTATCTGCTTCTTCTGATGGAGGGCAGAAGAAACCACCAAGCCCTAAGAGGAGGAGAGGACATTTTTTTGCTTAGAATGACATCTTGTTCCCTGTGCCCTCAGTCCTTAAACTGGACCTCCAAAGGAAAAAAAAAAAGAAGACTGTTCAAAAAGGTCTTTAGGGACACATCTAGCTCCAAAATGTAGTCTTCTTCTTTAAGGTCCCATTAGCTGGGACCTTAAACAGAAGCCAGGAGGATGAATTGTTGAGAGCCACAGCGGAAGGGACCCCAGCAAACTTCCAGCTGCCAGCAAACTTCCAGCTGCCAGCTGATGATTGACTCACAGCGGCCTCAGCAAACTTCTAGCTGCCAACTGATTGGCTCCTCTGCAGTGACGCTCATTGGGCTGTTTCCCCGCCCTTTCAGACCACTGAGCTGCTCATTGGGGGACTTTTTTGGCTCCGCGCTCCCGACCCAGCCAATCGGCCTCAAGAGCAGGAGGAGTGGGGGAGGTTGAGAGAGGCTTGTGGGAAGCCAGTGGTGGCAGTTGGGCTCTGAGGGTTTTTCCTGAGGAGCTGTGTGGTTTGGGTGTGTGGTTCTAAAAATAAAGTTTGTTTCTTTTGACAAGTGGCTCCTGAATTGTGCCCAGCCAGACTGCGGCAATGAATAGTCACACATCCAATGTGCCCCAGGGCCTGATCCCATGCTGAACTTGTCCTAGTATCCTTCACAGATTATCTACCTCTGAAGCAGAGGGCCCTGTTCCTGAGTATGAGGTTCCCACTGTTTCCTAGGGCCAGACCTTTAAAGTGCTATTCACTTCTGTGAAGATAATCAGTTTTGGCAGGGACAAAAGTAGATTCAGAAATGTCCCTTATTCTTAGGTGACCAAAAGGGCCAGAACTGGTTCCCTCAAGCGAGGGTGTGAAGGACGATTAGGGAGGAATCCTGTTATTCATTTAGTAAGTACTCATTGACACCTACTGTGTGCCCCATACTAGAATGGGTGACAGGGATATAATAAGAGAACAAGAGAGACCAAATATTTGTCTTTCTGGAGTCTGGGTTCAAGTTCAATGTTTTGTACCTCTTTGGTGATCTAATTAAACCCATCAATCTTTTCTCAGAAAAAAAAAATACCTCTTTAGTGCCTAAAACAAAATATGTAGAATTACAAAGGAAAACTATTATATTGAAATATAGTTATCAAAATATGGAAAAAGAGCCAGTTGTGGTGGTACACGCCTTTAATTCCAGCAGCTTGGGAGGCTGAAGCTGGAGGATTGCAACTTCAAAGCCAGCCTCAGCAACTTAGTGAGGTCCTGTTCAAAATAAAAATAAAAAGGGTTGGGGATGTAGCTCTGTGGTAGAGTACCCTGGTATGTGTGTGTGTGTGTGTGTGTGTGTATACACATATATAAAGCAAATATGTACTAGAGTAATATATGTGCTCCCCATTAATTCATTAAATCATAAGATCTTATGGAGGATCTAATAAGTACTGTGATTTTTATTTTTTCACTTTGTAGTACCAGGGATTGAACCTAGAGGTGCTTAACCAGTGAGACACATCCCCAGCCCTTTTTATATTTTATTTTCAGACAGGGTATCACTAATTTATTTAGGGCCTTGCTAAAGTTGTTGAGGCTAGCTTCAAACTTGTGATCCTCCTGCCTCAGTCTCCTGAGTTATTGGGATTACAGGTGTGCACCACCATGCTTGGCTAGTATCATGATTTTAAAACAGTGATAAGATTATATATTTCAAGAGATCCACAACATCTATAACGTGATGTAAAAATCTCTGTGATTTCTATTGGGGACAGTCACCAATAATAGTAGTAGTATGGTTAGTTACTTTTTATTTTTTCCTTTTTGTGATGCTGGGCTTTGCACATGCTAGGCAAGGGCTCTACCACTGAGGCACACCACCAGCCCATTAGTTATATTCTTAATTGAGAAAACACTAAATTTTAGTTATTAGGGAAAGAATAAAGACATAAATTTGTTGCAAATTAATTTAATTTAATTTTAAAATAAATTTAAGTTTATGGGCTTTTCCAAACTCTATCCGCAGACTCACCCGGAGGTCTGTGAAACTCAAAAACCTACATTAATAGAAGGTTTTTTCCTGTCTTTCCTTCCTTCTTAAACAGCTTTCCTTTGGAAGATATAAGCTTGCGTTTTATTCTGGGTAATGGTTGTGTGACTTCAAGGCAATTGGTTTGCCTCTCTGGACCATAGTCTTCTTTGCCTGAACGTGGGAAAGGCAAGAATTTGGAGAGTCTTTATTTATTCCACAGTCAATTAATTTGTGTTCTCATTTAATCATCACAACATTGTGGGGGAAAGTAAATATATTCCCATTTCACAGATGGTTAAACTGAGGCTACTAGCGAGGTTGTCACTTGACCAATATCTCTGGAAGTTGTAGGGACCGGTGTGAGATGTCCATATTCCCATAACCACTTCAACCTCCATGAATGGAAGTAGGAATTCTGCTCTCCTAGAGAGACATCTGGTTCAGAAATCCTTGCACGTAGGTGTGGAGCTTTGAGAAACTGGGGTTAAAGTCGCGTCGCTTGGTAAAGCAATGCAAGGGCTAGGTGACTAACTGGAGAGTTCGAGAGTGCGGTGACTCAGGCCTAGCCTGGCTTGGGACTTCGCGCCTGCGTGTTCGCAGCTACACCCCCGTCTGCCCCCGGGCTCCACTAAGTCCTGCTGAATAGAAAGGCAAAGGGCAATGACAAGCACTCTCTTCCCGGCCAATCCTCTTAACGGATGGGTTAGGCTCGTAAACCAATCAAAGACCCCCGAAGGGGCGGAGTTTTCCTCGGCTTGGATCCCTGCCTGGGGGGTAAAAATAAAGTGTTTCCATTTTCAGCCAATCCCAGGGAAGGCAGAAGGCACTCTTCCAATGGGAGCCGAGGAGCCGTCGGTAGCGGTGGAGGCCTGTGACCCCGCTAGCTCCGGAGCCGGCGGGAGGGAAGCGTCCAGTATATTTGCGAGATCGTGCTGAGGGCCCCTGACATCTCTTCGCGCCTGGCAGCAGCGGCGCCGACGGCTAGAGGTGTCTGGTGAGAAGCCGTAAGGATGGGGGTGGTGGGGGAAGTGGAGGGGAGAAGAGGCCCGCCCAGAGCGCGTGAGGGGTGGGGCCTGGGCGAGCTTTTACCTGGGCGGCCTCTCAATCCTAGGTCAGCGGGTGGTGGAGGATCGTACGGGTAGCCGAGGGAGGGCGAGTGCTCCTGAGATCCCCAGACGGCGCCCAGGTGAGTACCCTGCGGAGCCCACCGCTGAGCCCACCCTCCGCTGATCCCAGTCCCTTGGGAAATGATTCTGTGTGGGTCTGCCGCTCACGTGATCGTCTGCGTACCTCTCTGTCTCCCTGTCTACCCCCACCCCACTGTTTCTGTCTGTCTCGCCCTCTGAGACATACTAGACAGCCCAGATATAAGAGGCAGAATCCTGACCCAATCAGTTAAAACTAGCTTTGAAACCTTGGGCTACTTTACTTATCTGGGCCTCAGTTTCATCATCTGTCTAATGGGGCCCTAATAATCTCTATTTGAGATAGTAATGCATGTGCATCACTTTGCCCAGCACCAGGCCCCTAGAAAAAATTCAATAAATAATGACTGTAGTAATTGAAAAGAATATTGTCTCTCTTGGTCTCTGTTTTCTCCTTATCTGTCTCTGACCCTTGCCCATTGGATTTTTTTTCTGAATGCTTCTGTCTTTCTGTTATTTTTCCTTTTTCAGCCTGTCTCTTCCCAGCCTCAAAGAGGTTAGAAGTGCCCTGTTTATAGCAGTGTGCTTGGCCTGAGGGCAGGGTAAAAAATGGAGCCTGGCCTTGAGATGCTCTGGTCTGTGAAGGAGAGAACCCTCTTTGTTTCCTGGCCTATTCTGTTAAACAGGTAGAAAGATCACGATTACAGGCACACACCTGTAATCCCAGAGACTTGGGAGGCTGGGGCAGAAGGATCACAAGTTCAAAGCCAGCCTCAGAAATTTAAGGAGGCTCTAAGCAACTTAGCAAGACCCTGTCTCAGAATAAAAAATAATAATTAAAAAGGGCTGGGGATGTAGCTCAGTGGTAAAGTACCCCTGGGTTCAAACCCCAGTACCCCTCCACACATAAAAAAAAACCCTTCATCCTACATAACATTAGTCACCACAAGAAGCCTATCGATTTCCTGGTTACATCTTCATGCATCCCTGAGCAACCTCTTTTCTGTCCTTATCGGGAAGTCCTTCTACCAAGCCTTCTGAAACTCACTTTCAGGCATCAGCAATCCATTCCTCCATTCTCATCCTGGCTTTAGAATACTCCCTTCATTTTCTTGCCATATCTTGGTCTTTCTGAAACCTATTGGACCTACACTCTAAAATGTATAATTTGAAATATTTGAAATGCCCCCTTCACTATTCTTAAGTGAAGTGCATACAAAGTAGAATCTGTCTGCACACATAATTCCCTCCCAACCAATATAATGTCCTAATTGTAATATAAGGCAGAAATAAAGAAAGAATAGTTAAAAAGGAAACAATATGCATTTCAGTACATACAGGCTAGGATAGGACTCTACTAGAAGACATAATGAAATGGTCTTGCACATAATGATACTTGCACCTGTAAATGTGACAGCTACATGTGTATTGATTGGTGAAACCACAGGTAGGAGGGTGCAGTTTTCCTAAATGGTGAACAATTCTTTATAAACTTCTAAACAAAACAATCTTCCCTCAATTTATAAAGTCATTGAATTTCTGGAGATGTTAATATATATTAAAATCCCTGATCTGTTCCCCCTAACCTCCCTGGCCTTATCTGCTACCACTCCCCCAACTCCTTGCTCTGTTTCACTCATTCTGGTCTCCTTAAAGGAAGATAATTGAACACATTAGGTATGTTTCTACCTTTGGGATTTTGTACTAGGCCTTTCCATGTACCTAGTCACATTTCCATGTACCCCAAGTATCCACAAAGCTCATGCCCTTACTTCTTTCAGGCCTCTACTCAGTTGTCACTTTCTCAGTTAGGGTTTACCTTGACCATCCGATCTAAAATTTCAGCTCCCTCCTACCACTAACCCTACTCTATTTTTTCCATAGTATTCTTTATTTTCTTAGATAATAGTCATGTGTCACTTAACAGTGGTGATACTCTCCAAGAAGTGTGTCGTTAGGCAATTTTGTCATTGTGCAAACATAAGAGAGTGTACTTATGCAAACTAACATGGCTATGATGTCCCTAGGTGATGTAATCTTATGGGACCACTGTCATATATATGGTCCTTAGTTGACTATCATTATGCAGCACCTGACTATATATTATTTACCTCTATTATATTTGTTGTTATTGTCTGACACTCATTTGTAAGCAACAGAAAGACAGCAGTTTTTGTCTTTTTTTGGTTCCCTGATGTATCTGTATTACCTAAAACAATGCTTGGCACATAGTAGGCTCTCTCAATAAATGTTGGACAAATAAATGAATGAATGAACATATTTTTTATCAATATGATAGTCTGATACAACATTTTAAAGTTGTACGGTATGCAGAACACTTCTTTATTGTGTGGTGTTATCTTGAGTATATCTCTGGTCTGTGCCCACTAAATGTCACTAATGATCTCTTACTTTTGTGACAATCAGAAGTGCCCCCAAACACTCCTTGACTGTCCACACTGAGAATCACTGTTTTAATGGAGATTTGACTTCCCCCTGAACACTCTGTTCCCCCAGTAGCTCTCATACCCTTCTTACCAGGAGGGTGGGAGGTGATGGTAGGTGTCCTTGCTGCTTATTTATTATTTTTTTTTGTGTGTGTGTGTGTGTGTGTGTATGTTACTGGGGATTGAATCCAGGGATGCTTTACCACTGAGCCATAACCCCAGTCCTTTTTTTTTTTTTTTGAGACTAAGTCTTGATAAGTTGCTGAGGCTGAACTTGAACTTGCAGTCTTCCTGCCTTAGCCTTCTGAATTGGGTGTCCTTGCTTCTAATCGTCTTTTCCAGACATTTTGTCTTCCTCTTCCTTAATCATTATTTGTTTGTTTTTACAATTTTTAAACTTTCAAATTTTAAAATAATTTCAGAAGAGTTCCCATATATCCTTCACTCGGATCCCCTAAAGGTTAAGAAATTATATAACTATAGTTTATGTATCAAAACTTAGAAAATTAGCCAGCTGCTTGGGAGGCTGAGGCAGAAGAATTGTGAATTCAAATCCAGCCTCAGCAACTTAGCGAGATGCTAAGCAACTCAGTGAGACCCTGTCTTTAACTAAAGTACAAAAATGGGTTGGGGATGTGGCTCAGTGTTTGAATGCCCCAGGGTTCAATACCGGTACCAAAAAGAAAAAAAAATAGAAAATTGGGCTGGGAGTGTAGCTCATTGGTGTAGTGCTTGCCTAGCATGAGTAAGGCCCTGAATTCAATCTCTGGTACTACAACAACAAAAAATTAGAAAATTAATATTGGTGCAGTACTACTAATAAAAGTATAGAACTTATTAGACTTCATCAGTTTTTCTACTAATATATTTTTTTTCTTGTAGGATCCGATTCATGATTCATCATATGTCTCCTTAGGCTCTCCAATCTGGACCAGATCTTTAGTCTTTGTCTTTCATGACTTTGATAACTTTGAAGTATTCTGACCAGTTATTTTTATAAAATTTAGGTTTGTCTGAAGTTTGATTGTGATTATATTCCAGTTATGTAATTTTGGCAAGAATACCATAGAGGAGATGTTGGGTCTCGAGTGTGTCATATCAGGAGGCACCTGGTATCTTTTTTTCTTAATGTTAATTTTGTTTCTTTTTGTTTAAGGTAAAGTCTGCCAGGTTTCTCCACTGTAGTTACAGCCATGCACCACATAATGATGTTTTGGTCAATGATGGACACGGATATGACAGTGGTCTCATATGATTCAATTGACTAGTAACGTCATAGTTGTCTTAGTTCGTGTAAGTACATTCTGTGATGTTCACACAACTATAAAATTGCCTGACAATACATTTCTCAGAACACATCTCCATTGTTAAGCAACATATAATTGTATTTTTTTGCAGTGCTGGGAATGGAACCCAGAGCCTTGTGCATGCTAGTCCAGTGACCCACACCCTCAGCCATGTACTCTTTGTTCCTCTGTAATTAATAAGTGATCTATGTTGATATTCTTTGAGATTATACAACTATCAGTCACCCTGTTTAAATCTCAAATCATCAGACTCTACCATCCACTGCCCCTCTGTTATGGTCATGTGTAGACATACATACTTGCCCCCTTTCTCATTCCTAGAAGTTGTTTAGCTATGAACTCACTGTAACTCTCTTTAACACTGCTCAAGTTTGAACTCTGTATGATTTTAATATCCTCATAAATGATCCTTCTAATGATCCTTCTCATCTCTCATTTCTGTGACCAACTCTCCTATAGAGATCCTGCTTTTTGACTGCACCTCAACCACCCATTCTAGCAATGTTATCTTTCTTCTTAGCAGTACCTGTGATGTTAGAAAATGAAATCTCCATGATTTCATTTTCTAACATCCTGCTATCTAACCAGTACTTCCTATCCTTCTTGCTCACTGCCTCTAATCCCCCAATCCAGCAATCTTTCAACCCCACTGGGACCGAATGTTGTCACACTTTTGCTCCCATGTACCTTGTTTAATTAGGATAAATTCCATGGCTCACCATTAATTATAATTATTCTCTTGTATACAGCCTCATTTCCCTTGCCCCTCTCTTACTTCATCATACTTACCAGGCAAAACCCCATCCCTGGTTAAATCCAACTCTGCCTGTTCCCAAGCATTTCCCCAAGCCATTCACTCTCCTACTTTCCAAGATGATGATTTCATACCTTCTCTCTCCTCAAAACTCCAACACAGCCTCTCCCATCATGTTCAGGCTTCCTATTTAACTGAAAAAGTAAAGGCATCAGAAGAAAACATCTGGGCTGCGACTATGGCTCAGTGGCAGAGCAGTTGCCCCGCATGTGTGAGGCACTGGGTTCCATCCTTAGCACCATATAAAAATGAAACAAATAAAGACATGCTGTCTATCTACAACTACAAAAAAGAAATTAAAAAGAAGAAAACATCCACCACTTCCCACTCTCACATCCAACCACCATATAGCATCTGTACTCACATGCCCTGCCTACTTCTCTATTATTATGGATAATCTATTTATGCTGTCATCAAAATCCAGTTCTTTGGGCTAAGGGTATAGCTCAGTAGTAGAGCATATGCTTTGCATGTATAAGGTCCTGAAACCCCCAATGCATACCTTACACTTTGGCTCTAGATCTCACCCTCTCTTACCTACTTTAGGACATTGCTCTACCAATTTTCCCCTCTCTACAGGATCACTCTCAGAGATTTGTAACCTAATCAGTGGATTAATTCACTGAGATGGGTTAACTGGGTGGTAACTGTAGGCAGGTAGGGTATGGTTGGAGAAAGTATGTCACTGGGGATGTGCCTTTGGGGTTTATATTTTGTCCCTGGTAAATGTCTCCTCTGCTTCCTGGTTGCCATGTTTTGAGCTACTTTCCTCTGCCAAGCCCTTCCACCATGATGATATTTTTGGGCCCAGAGCTATGGAGTTGGCCGACCTTGGACTAAACTCCTAAAACTGTGAGCCAAAATAATATTTTTCTCATCTAAAAAAAATCACTCTCATTAACACATAGATTTTTTTTTATTGCTTCCTCCACATTTTTTCTCTTTCTTTTTTTTTTCTTTTTTAAGCACTGAGAATCAAACCCAGGGCCTCATCTGTGCTAAGCATGTACTCTTCCACTGAGCTACACCCCAGCCCGCTTCTGTCCTTTTGTTACAACTTGATTGAGATGTACATACCATAAAATTTACCCTTTTGAAGGGTACTGGTCAGTGGTTTGTAGTATATGTATGGAGTTGTAAAATCATCACCATGATCAGTTTTAGAACATTTTCATCCCTCTTCCCTGCCAGAGAAGCTTTCTACTTATTAGCATTCATCCCTTATTACTTCCCTTCTTCCCAGCCCTAGGCCACTACTAATATACTTTCCATCTCTATAGATTTGCCTGTTCTAGACATTTCATATAAATGCAGTCATGTAATATATTAGGTTTTATTTCTGGCTTCTTTCACTTAGCATAATGTTCTTGAGGTTCATCCATGTTGTTGCATATATCATTTCTTTTTATTGCCAAATAATGCCATGTTTATTCATTGCTCAGTTGACAGACATTTCGATTGTTTTCATGTTTAGCTATTATGAATAATGTTTCTCTGAACATTCATGTGCAAGTTTTTGGGTGGATTTATGTTTTCTTTTCTCTTGGGTAGAAGAGATGTGTCTTATAGCAACTCTGTGTTTAACTTTTTAAGAAACTACCAAACTGCAAAAGTGGCTACACACTTTACATTCCCACTAGCAATATATGAGGGTCTCCATTTCTCCACCTTCTCACCAACACTTTTTATTGTCTTTTATTATACCCATCCTAATGAGTATAAAGTAGAATTGCATTGTTTTGATTTTCATTTTCCTACTGACTAATTATTTTAAATATCCTGTTATATATTTTTGGCTATTTGTATATAATCTTTGAAGAAATGTCTATTCAAATCTTTAGCTCATTTTCATTGGTATTGTTTCTTTTTATGTTTGAGTTGTAAGAGTTCTTTGTATATCTTGTCCCTCATCAAATATATGAATTCCAAGTATTTTCTTCCATTCTGTGGGTTGTCTTTTCACTTTCTGGGTTGTGTCCTTTGATGCACAGAAGTTTCTAATTTTGGTGAAGTCCATTTTTTTTTTCATTTGTCACTTGTGCTTTTAGTATTATATCTAAGAAATCATTGTCTAACTCAAGGTCACAAAGATTTATTACTGTTTTCCTCTAGGAATTTTATAGCTCTAGCTCTTAACATTTATGTTGATGATCCATTTTGAGTTAATTTTTCTGGGTAGTATAATATAAGAGTCTGTCTTCGTCTGTTTTGTATTGCTACAATACAATATTTATAAAGAAAAGGGGCTTTATATTTTGTAATTGGATAATTTATAAAGAAAAGCCTGGGAAGTTCGAGGTTGAGGAACTGTATCTGGTGAGGGCCTTCTTGCTGCATCATAACATGGCAAAAGTCATCACATGGTGAGAGAGTGAGGGTATGAATATTGAAGTCTCTCTTCCTTTTCTTATAAAGCCACTGATCCCATCGTGGGGCCTGACTCTCAGGACTTTATCTAACCCCAGTTACCTCTCAAAGACCTCACTTCCAAATAGTATCAACATATGAACTTGAAGATTAAGTTACCAACACATAAACTTTGAGGGAACACATTCAAACCATCGCTTAGTCTACATTCACTCTTGTGATGTGACTATCTCACTCTCAGCACCTTTTACTGATAAAAGTATTCTTTTCCTCACTGGATGATCTTTGCAACCTTGTCAAAAATCACTTGGCCATATATCACAAATATAAAGGGAAATTTCTGGTTTCTAAATTCTATTCCATTGATCTGTAGGTCTTTTACTACACCAGACCATACTGTCTTATTTACTGTAGCTATATAGAACATTTTGAAATAAGGAAGTAGGACTTCATTAACATTGTTTTTCTTTTTCAAGATAGTTTTGGCTCTGCTAAGGCACTTTTATTTTTCCATATGAATTTTAGGATTAGCTTATCAATTTCTTTTTTAAAAAGACTGTAATTTCAATAAGGATTGTGCAGAATTTATATATCTGTGTGGGGAGGGTTGCCATTTAACAATATTCTCTTCTACTATATAAACATGGCATATCCTCTGTTTATTTAGAACTTCTTTAATTTCTTTCAGGAGTGTTTTGTAGTTTTCATCATATAAGTTATGTACTTCTTTTGTTAAGTTATTACTAGGCATTGTATTCTTTTTGAGGCTATTATAAATAGGATTTTTTTTCTTTTTTTTTAACTTTCTGATTGCTTATTGCTAATGTATAGAAATACATTTGATTTTTGTTTATTGTTTATCATACATTGCTTAAAATGATTATTAGTTCAAATAATTATTTAGTGTATTCCTTAGGTTTTTTTACATATATAAAATCATGTAATTCTCACAAATTTGTGGAAACTCAGTAGTTCATCTCATAGAAGAATGGTGTGGAATAGTTGTTCTTGGACATTGGAAATGGCAGTGGGGATGGGGGCTGGAAATTAGTTTAATAAAGGGCACTAAAACACAGAGAGGAGGAATTAGTTATGATTTTCTATAGCACAGTAACAACTATTGGTTAAAAAATATATGGTATAATTCAAAATAACTATAAGAGTATGGGAGTCAGTTGCATGCCTGTAATACCAGTGACTCAGGAGGCTGAGGCAGGAGGTGTGCAAGTTTGAGGCCAGCCTCAGTAACTCAGCCCTAAGCCACTTAGTGAGATCCTGTCTCTAAATAAAAAATAAAAAGGGCTGGGAATGTGGCTCGGGGTTTCAGCACCTCTGGGTTCAATCCCTGATACAAACAACAACAACAACAACAAACTAGAAAAGTATAAAATTCACAACACATAAAAATGATTTTATAGAAATGCTTTGAAGAGATGGAGATGCTTACTACCCTGATTTGGTTATTTTACTTTGTGAACATGTATTGAATTACCATAGTATACCCCATAAAGATGTATAAATATTATGTCTCAATAAAAAGGTGTCATTTGTAAATATATATGGTCTTAATTTTTCCTTTCCTAAATAGATACCAAGTTTTTCCTTGACTAATTGCCCTGGTTAGACATTTTATTACAATTTTAAAAATATTTTTTAGTTGTTGATGGACCTTTATTTTTAGATTTATTTGTTTATCTGTGGTGCTGAGAATTGAATCCAGTTCCTCACATATACTAGGCAAGCACTCTACCACTGAGTTACAACCCCAGACCCTTTTTATTACAATTTTGACAAGAAATTATAAGAGCAGATATACTTGTCTTACTTCTGATCTTAGGGGGGAAATATTGAGTCTTTCTCCTTTTCATACGATGTTAGCTGTGTGTCCTATGTTGATACCCTTTATCAGGTTGAGAAAGTTTCCTTCTATTCCTAATTGTTGCATGTGTGTTGGATTTTTGTCAAATGTTTTTTCTGCAGCTATTAAAATGATCGTGTATTTTATGCTTTATTTATATGGTATATTACATTAATTTTCAGATAAAAACCCACCTGATCATGTTATATACAATTTTTATATGCTACTAGATTTGTTTTGCTAGTACTTTGTTGAGATTTTTACATCTATGTTCATAAAGGATATTATAAGGGATATTGGTCTATAGTTTTCTTATCATACAACCTACATAGTATGTAGGTTGCATAGAATGATTTAGACATTGTTTCATCCTCCTTTGTTTTTGGAATGGGTTTGTGAAAGATTGTTATTCACTTCATGTATGTCTTTTTTTTTTATACTGGAGATTGAACCCAGGGGTCCCTAACTACTGTGTACACTCCAGCCCCTTTTTATTTTTTATTTTAAGACAGGATCTCACTAAGTTGCTTAGGGCCTTGCTAAGTTGCCGAGATTGGTCTCAAGTCGCTGGTATTATATGTATGTTCCAAGGTGCCTGACGTCCTGTATGTCTTACGTTGTTTGTGTTCATCTGTTCCCCAATTCCTCTCTTCTTTTGTGTTAAATAGATACTGTCTACTGTAAATTTTTAATTCCCCTTTTTAAAAAATTATTTTTAGTTGTGGATGAATATAACAACTTTATTTATTTATTAAATTTTTTATAGTAGATGGACACAATATCTTTATTTTATTTTTATGTGGTTCCAAGGCTTGAACCCAGTGCCTCACCCGTGCTAGGCAAGCACTCTACCAACTGAGTTACAACCTCAGCCCTATTTACTTATTTTTATGTGGTGCTGAGGATCAAACCCAATGCCTCACATGTGCTAGGCAAGCACTCTATCATTGAGCCAGAACCCCAGCCCTTAATTCCCTTTTTAACTGTATTTTTAGCTCAGATTTTACTGATCACCATGAGTATTACAATTAACATGATAACTTGTAAAAATCTACTTTGGATTAATAATAACTCAATTCAAATAGTATATAAAAACTTTGTGGGGCTGTGGTTGTGGCTCAGTGGTAGAATGCTTGCCTAGCACACGTGAGATACTGGATTCGATCCTCAGCACCACATAAAAATGAAATAAAGATGTTGTGTCCACCTGTAACTAAAAAATAAATATTTTTTTAAAAAAACTTTGTTTCAGTGTACCACTTTTCCCTCCCACCTCTATTGCATTATTGTCCTAAAAATCATCTTTTTATACATTATAAGCCAAATCAACAATTTTATTATTTTCATTTAAATAGTTATTTATTAATTTATTTTTATGTCTATGTCCCCAGTACTTGGGATTGAACCTACAGGTGCTCTACCATTGAGCTACATCCCAAACCCTTAAAAATATTTATTGAGGGTCTCATCAAGTTGCCTAGGCTGGCCTTGGACTTGCAGTCCTCCTACCCCTGCCTCCTGTGTGGCTGGGATTACAAACATTCACCACCTTACCTGGCTATGCAGTTGTCTTTTAAGATAGAAAGGAAAATAAAAGTTACAAACAAAAATACTTTCTTTTGTAATACTGTATAGTTACCTTCAAGTTAACAGTTAGCCAATTTTTTTTTGGTACCAGGGATTGAACCCTTAACCACTGACCCACATCTCCATCCACAGCCATATATATATATATATATATATATATATATATATATATATATATATATATATATATATATATACACACACACATACACACACGCGCACGCGCACACACACACACACACACATATATATATATATATACACACACATACATATATATTTTAAATTTTTTAGTTATAGGTAGACACAATATCTTTATTTTATTTTTATGTGGTAGCTGAGGATCGAACCCAGTACCTCATGCATGCTAGGCAAGCACTTCTACCTCTGAGCCACAACCCCAGCCCCACTTTTTTATATTTTATCTAGAGACAGGATCTTTCTAAGTTGCTTAGAGCCTCAGTAAATTGCTGAAGCTGGCTTTGAACTCGAAATCATCCTGACTCAGCCTCCTGAGCCACAGGTATTATAGGTGTGTTCACCACCATACCCTGCATATTTAGTCAACTTTAATTTCAACCTGAAAGTCTATCTTTCTTTCTTTCTGTTTCTTTTTCTTTTTTTTTTTTTTTGTACCAGGGAATTAACCCAGGGACACTTTACCACTGAGCCACATCCCCATCCCTTTTTTTGTATTTTATTTAGAGACAAGGTCTCCCTGAATTGCTGAGGCTGGCTTTGAACTTGGGATCCTCCTGCTTCAGCCTCCCAAGCCTCTGGGATTACAGCTGTGTGTCACTGTGCCCAGTTCTGACAGTGTTTCTTGTAGAATAAGTTTGCTAGGAACAAATTCTCTCACTTTTTCTTTATCCTAACTTCTCTTTCCTTTTCAAAGGACAGCAATGCTGGATAGAGAATTAATAGTTGACAGTCTTTTTGTTACTTCATTTTGAAGATATCATCACACCATCTTCTGACCTCCATGGTATCTGATGAGGAAACAAACTTATTGAAAGTCCCTTGAATGTGTAAGTCATTTTCTCTTACTTCTTTCAAGATTTTCTTTTATCTCTGACTTTCATCAGTCTCACCATGATATTTCTAGATATAAATCTCTTTGAGTTTTTTCTCTTTGAACTCCTTAAATGTGTAGATTAATATTTTTCATTAAATTTGGTAACTTTTACCTCTTTCTCTTCCTCTTCCTTTGGGACCCCATTATGTATGTGTTATATTTGATGGTGTCCCACAGGTTTGTGATGATCCATTTCTCTTTCCTTTTGTCTTTCAGATTCTTAGAGTGGATAATTTCTATTAACCTATTATCAGGTTTACCCTTTCTCTCCTCCCGTCTCAAATCTCTCATTGAGTCCCTCTAGTGATGTATTCATTTTGGATATTGCACTTTTCAATTTTATTATATTTTAAATTGCCACTTTATTGGTATTCCTCATTTGCTGAGATATTGTTCTAATACTTTAATCCTTTAGATATAGTTTTTATTTCATTGAAAATATTTATAATAGCTAAAGTCTTTGTCTTTTAAGTCCTAAACATGGGCCCTCTCAGGATCATATTTCATTGGTTGCCTTTTGTCCTGTGTGTCATACTTTCCTGTTTCTTTGTGTGTCTCGTAATTTCTTTTTTGTCAAAAATTGGACATTGTATATGGGCTGGCACTGTGGCTCAGTGGCGGAGTGCTGGTCTAGCATGTGTGAGGCACTGGGTTCAATCCTTAGCACCACCTAAAAATAAATAAAATAGGGGCTGGGGCTGGGGCTCAGTGATAGAGCGCTCGCCTGGCACACATAAGGCACTGGGTTTGATCCTCAGCACCACATAAAAATAAAATAAAGATATTGTGTCCGCCTACAACTAAAAAAATATATGTATTAAAAAAGCAAATTAAATAAAGGCATTCTGTTTATCTATAGCTACAAATTTTTTTTAAATTGGACATTGTATATACTTTGCTTTAACACTTGTAGTATCACTCTTTCACTCTCAAGGTTGTGGGTTTTTTTTTTTTTTCTTTTTCAATATTGGAGATTGAACCATGCAGGCACTTTCTTTTTTTTTTTTTTTTTTTAAAGAGAGAGTGAGAATTTTTTTAATGTTTACTTTTTAGTTTTCGGCGGACACAACATCTTTGTATGTGGTGCTGAGGATCGAACCCGGGTCGCACGCATGCCAGGCGAGCGTGCTACCGCTTGAGCCACATCCCCAGCCCCAATGCAGGCACTTTCTATCACTGAGCTATAGCTCAGGCATTTTTAAAATTTTTTGAGGCAGTGTCTCACAAATTTGCCTAGGCTGGCCTCAAACTTGGAATCCTCCTGCCTTAGGCTCCCAAGTAGCTGGGATTAAAGGCATGCACCACCACATCTGGTTACTACCCTTGAGGTTTTGTTGTTGTTTAAAACAATAACATCTTGCTAACTTGCTAACAACATCCTGCTAACTTGCCCAGGCCTCTAACTTGTGATCTTCTTCCTCAGACTCCTGAGTATATGAGATTACTGGTATACCACTATGCCCAGCTATTGTTCTTTTTCATTATTAAATTTTTTATTTATATTTAGTTGACCAATAAAAATTATATATTTTGATCATTTGTTTCAAAATATACATGCACCGGGGAATAGCTAAATCAATTTAATTAATATATGCATCGCTTCACATACATTTTTGTTGTTGAAAACCCTTACAATCTATTATTCTCTTAGCAATTTTCAAACCTACAATACATTATTATTAACTAAAGTTGATGCATTTCCTGCATCTATGGAGATGATCTTATGGTTTTTGTCCTTCTCTTTGTTAATATGGTGTGTCATCTTTGTAGATATGCATGTGTTGAGAATATCCTTGCATCCCTGGGATAAGTCCTACTTGATCATGGTTAGTGATCCATTTAATGTACTATTAAATTTGGTTTGATAATATTTTGAGTAGTATTTTTTCATCTATTTTCTTCAAGATATCAGCCTATAATTGTCATTTCTTGTAATGTCCTTATCTGATTTTGGTATCAAGATAATGATGGCCTCATAAAAGAGTTTGGATATACTCCTTCTTCAGTGTTTTGGAAGAGTCTGAAAAGGATTGGTATTAGTTCTTTAAGTATTTGGTAGTATTCAGTAGTGAAGTCATTGGGTCCTGAGCTTTTCTTTGATGAGAGACTTTTTTAAAATTTTCTTTTTGGTACCGGAAATTGAACTCAGGGGTACTCGACCACTGAGGCACATCCCCAGCCCTATTTTGTATGTTATTTAGAGACAGGGTCTCACTGAGTTGCATAGTGCCTCACTGTTGCTGAGGCTGCCTTTGAACTAGCAATTCTCCTGTCTCAGCCTCCCAAGCTGCTGGGATTACAGGAGTGCACCACTGTGCCCCATGACAGACTATTTTTTAATGGATTCAATCTCTTTACTCACTATTGGTTGGTTTAGAATTTCTATTTATTAACAGTTTGTATATGTCTAAGAATTTCTATGTTTCTTCTAGGTTATGTAATTTGTTGATGTACAGGTGTTCATATTAGTCTCCTATATCTGTTGTGATTCTATGGCATCAGTTGTAATGTCTCATCTTTCATTTATGATTTTGTTTGAGATCTCTCTTTTTTTCCTTAATCTAGCTAAAGATTTGTTGATTTTGTTTATTTTTTTAAAAAAGTACAACTCTTACTTTTGTTGATTTTTTTCTATTTTTTGTAGCTCTTTTTCATTTATTTATGCACAGATATTTAATATTGCCTTCCTTCTATTAACTTTGGATTTAGTTTGCTCTTCTTTTTCTAGTTACTTGAGGTATAATGTTAGGCTGTTGGATATCTTTCTTCTTTTATTATGTAGATATTTATTGCAATTTACTTCCATCTTAGAAGTGCTTTTGCTGCACATCATAAGTTTTGGTATGTTGTATGTCCATGTTCATTTTCCTCAAGATATTTTACATTTTCCCTTTTAATTTCTTCTTTGGCCCATTGGTTATTCAGGTGTATATTGTTTCATTTCCACATATTTGTGAATTTTCTGAAATTCTTTCTATTATTGATTTCTGTTTCATACCATTGTGGTTGGAAAAGACATTTGAAATGATTTCAGTTTTTTAAAATTTATTAAGACTTGTTTTGTGGCCTATGATCTGTCTTGGAGAATGTTCCATGTGTGTTTGAAAAGAATGTGTATTCTGCTGCTGTTGGATAGAATATCCTGCATAAATCTGTTGGGTTCATTTGGTCTTATGTGTAGTTTAAGGCCAATGTATCCTTATTGGTTTTCTGTCTGGATGATCTGTTCAGATAGAAAGTGGCTTATCAGAGTCCCCTCTTATTACTGCATTACAGTTTGTCTCTTCAGCTCTGTTGATAGATTTGCTTTGTATATTTAAGTGCTCCACTGTTGGGTACACATAATGTTTAGCATGGTTATATCCTCTGGAGGAATTGGCCCTTTTATCATTATGTATTGACCTTCTTACCTCTTTTTATAGTTTTAAAGTCTATTTTATCAGATGAAGTATAGCTACCCCTACTCTCTTTTGGTTTCCATTCACATGTAATATCTTTTCATATATTTTCTCTTTCAGTCTATGTGTGTCATTAAAGGTAAACTGAGTCTCTTGTAGGCAGCACATAGTTGAGTCTTGTTTTATGGTCCATGCAGCCACTCTATGCCTTTGGATTGCAGAATTTAATCCATTTAAATCCTGGTAATTATTGGTAGGTAAGGACTTATTACTGCCATTTTGTTAATTGTTTTCTGGTTGTTTTGTAGATCTTTTGATCCTCTCTTCATCACTTGCTGTCTTCCTGTGTGATTAGATGATTTCTTCTAGTGGTATCCTTTGATGCTTTATTTTTTGTAGTATCTCCTATAGGTTTTTGCTTTCTGGTTACCATGAGGCTTACATAAAATATATTTATAAGAGGCTATTTTAGACTGATAACAACTTCGATTGCATTAAGAAACTTCATAGGGCTGGGGTTGTGGCTCAGTGGTAGAACACTTGCTAACATGCATGAGGCACTGGATTCAATCCCCAGTACCACATAAAAATAAAAGAAAATAAAATAAAGGTATCATGTCCATCTACAACTAAAAATATATTTTAAAAACTGAAACTCCACACTTCTCGGTGCACACCTGTAATCCCAGTGACTAGAGGCTGAGACAGGAGGATCACAGTTCAAGGCCAACCTTATCAACTTATCAACTGAGCAACTTAATGAGACCCTGTGTCAAAACAAAAAAAATAAAAAAGGGTTGAGGATGTAGCTCAGTGGTAAAGACCCCAGAGCCAAAAGAAAAAGAAGAAAGAAAAAGAAACTTCACATTTATCTGATAGTTCAAACCTGTAATCCCAACTACATGGGAGGCTGAGGCAGGAGGATCACAAATTCAAGGCCAGCCTCAGCAATTTAGTGAAACCCTACCTCAAAATAAGAATAAAAATTTCTAAAAAAAAAAAAAAAAAAAACTTAAAAAGGTGGTGATGTGGATCAGTGGAAGAGTGCCTTGGGTTTCAGTACTACAAAATAAGAAGAGAGAGAAGGAGAAAAAAAGAAGCTCCACACTTTCACTTCACCCCATCACACACGACATTTTATGTCTTTTGATCTCATGATTTACATCATTTTATATTGTGTTTCCATTAACAGATTATGGTAGCTATCATTATTTTTAATAGTTTCCTCTCATTCTAAAGATGTCATGTACACACTTCCATTGTAGTATTAGAGTGTTCTGAATTTGACTGTGTACTTACTGGTGAGTTTTATGATTTCTTTATGTTTTCATATTACGAATTAGCATCCTTTTCTTTCAACTTGAGGAATTCCCTTTTGCATTTCCTGTAAGACAAGTCTGGGTTATGAAATACCTCAACTTTTGTTCGTCTGGGAAAGTCTTACATCTCTCCTTCATTTTCAAAGGATAGCTTTGCCAGATACAGTATTCTTTGTTGACAGTTTTATTCCTTCAGCACATTAAAATATCATTCCACTCTTTACTGGCCTATAAGAATTCTGCTGAGGAATTTGATGCTAGCCTTATAACTATCTTACATGTTATTTGCTTCTTTCTTTTCTGCTTTCAGGATCTTCTCTTTCTTCTTGACATCTGACAGTCCAATTATAATATGTCCTTTTGTAGCTATGTTTTTATTGAATCTGATTGGAGACCTTTGAACCTTCCTATACAGAGATAGTTATATCTTTTTTAAAATTTAGAAAGTTTTCAGCTATTATTTCTTCTGATAAACTTTCTTTTCCTTTGTCTATCTCTTCTCTTTCATGAATTTCTATTCAAATATTTATTTGCTCCTTTGATGCTTCTCCATATACCCCACAAGCTTCTTCATTCTTTTTCTTTTTCTTTCTTTCTTTTTTTCTTTTAAACTGGGAATCTAACCCAGGGGTGCTTTACCATGAGCTACATCCTCAACCTTTTTTTAATTTTTATTTTTAAATGGGGTCTTACTAAGTTGCGGAGGGTCTTACCAAGTTGCTGACGCTGGCTTCAGATTTGGCAATCCTCCTTTCTCAGTCTCCCAAGTTGCTGGGATTACAGGTGTGCTGCCACCATGCTCAGCTTCTTCATTCTTTTCATTATTTTTTCTCCTCAGTATATATTTTTAAATAACCTGCCTTCAAGTTCGTATGTTCTTTCTTCTGCTTGATCAGTTGTGCTATTAATGATCTGTTGCCTTTTTCTCTACATTCAATGACTTTTTCAGCTCTATAATTTTTTATAATTACAACCTCTCTAATAATTTTCTCTTCTTTATTTTTTATTATTTTATTGCTACGTTGGATTATTTTTGTGTTTTCTTGGATTTCACTAAAACAATTATTTTGAATTGTTTTTTCAGACAGTTCATAATTTTTTTTTTAGATTTTGGTATTGGTGCTTTATTTTATTCCTCTAGTAGTAGTGTATTTCCTTGATTAATATTATTTTGGTGGGGGGTTACTGGCAATTTAACCCCAGAGTAATTTACCACTGATCTACATTCCCAGCCCTTTTATTTTTTATTTTGAGATAGGGTCTTATTAAGTTGGTTAGGGCTTTTCTGAGTTGCTGAAGCTGGCCTTGAACTTGTTATCCTCCTGTCTCAGCCTCCCAGCTGCATGGATTATAGGCATACACCACTGCATCCAGCTCCCTGGTTATTTTTGATAATTATTACTGTACTTCAGTTTCTATGCATTTGAAGAGGTAGGGACTTATTCCAGGATTTGCAAAAGTGACACTGTCTGTAAAAGGCCTTTACTAGTCAGTGTGGGCTATGGGGCAGGCTTGGTGCTGCAGTCCTTGGTCAGGCTATCCTAGTGTTTGAACTGGAGCCTGGATATAATGGGGTTGACCTATTGATTGGATCTATGGGGGTGGGCCTGGAACCTGGGTCCACAAGGGCATTCCTGGAGTCTGTATTCATGGGGTTAGCCTAAAATCTGGGTTCACAAGGTCTGACCTGGTACTGGGGTGAGCCATGAGCCTAAGTCTAGCCAGACTCTGGGATAGGCCTGGTCCCTGGATTCACTGGTTTTGCCTGAAGCCTGATTCCAAAGGGATTACCCTGGTACTGGGAAAGTCTGGAGCCTGAATCCATGGGGCAGGAGACTTGGGTCTTGGGTCCATGGGAGCTGGCCTGGAGCCTGGGTCTACAGAGGTGGTCCTGGAGCCTTGGTCTATAGGGACTGGCCAAGCATTAATGTCTATTGGGGTGGGCCTTGATCCTGTGTTAGAGCAGGCTTGGACTCTGGGTCCAGTGTAGCCTTAAGCCATAGGATCAGCCTGGAGCCTGGGTAGGCCTGGTGCTAGGGAAGGTATGAAGCCTCGATCCAAAGGAGCCAGCCCTGCATTGGACTCTACTGGGATGGACCTGAATTCCACATATGCTAGAACAAGCTTGGACTGTGGTTCTGCTTAAATGTAGAGCCACAGAACCAGCCTCCCATGGACAAACCTAGAGTCTGTGCCTCCAGTTGCAAGCCTGCTACCTGAGGCCAGGGGGGCTGACCTCATGCTGAGGTAGGCCTGCAGCATGGGGTTATGTGGGCCAACCGTTCTGTGCTGGTCTGGAACCTGTGGTGGGTCTGGAGCCTGAGGCCATGGACGCTAGAGGTTAGCCTGGTCCAGGGTCTGGCCTGCAGGTTGGGTTGTCAGAGAGTAGCTATAATGCTAGAGCTATGGAGGCTGGCCCAGTGCTAGGATGGGCCTAAAGCCTGGGGCCCAGGGCTACTGGGGAAGGACTGGCTATGGAGAAGGCCAATAGCCTGAGTATATGGGAGCTAGCCTGGAACTTGAGCCATTTGTGAGCCTGGGGTCAGCCTGGTGCTTGGATAGGCCTATAGACTGAGTCTACCAGGTAGTCCTAGAGCCTGGAACTCTGGGGAATCTGTCCTGGTATCAGAGTTGGCCTTGAGTATCAGTCTGTAGGTACCGGCCTAGAATCTGGGACTGTGGATGGTTACCTAGAACTGGGTTTTACTTGAATGGACCCAGTTTTGGTGTCCAAGACAAATTTCAGTTCTCAGTTCCCTCTTCTTTCCCCTCATGGTTAGCTATCTAACCATGGTTAGCTACACTGTGTTGTCTGAGTTTGTGGGAGGGGTGAGTGGATAATTTGGAACTGTTCTTTTTGCCTTCTTCAATGTCTTTTCTTATTTCTGTGCTACACCCAGGTGCTGTAATCTCTCACCTGGTTTCCTTAGCTCTAGTGAAGGTATTTTCATGCCTGGATAGTTCAAATTGATGTTTCTACGGGGGGACGAGTGCTGGAAAACCCTATTCTGCCATCTTGCTGACGTCCGGACTCCCAAGGTTTGTTGTTGTTTTGCTTTAGCTTTTGTTGCTGTTGTGGTTGTGATTATTGTTCTTGGTGTCATGTATCTGTTTATTGACTTTCCTGGATTAATTCTGTAGATTCTGTATTCCCTACTTTATATTAAGTGGCCCCTGAGTTTTCTGCTAGCTTGTATTTTAAAAGTTCTTGTTTTTATTTTTAAGCCTAGATTCCTAAGAGTCACACCAGGGTAAATATATATTGTTGGTCAGCCAATGATTGGTCAGAAGATCTCCTTCAATGCCTTGCCTGTATGTCTTCCATCCTTTGCCGTGAAGATGTGTATAAGAAAACATACTTTCAAATTTCAGCCATTTACACCATCTGAGCTTTCAACTTCTGCTTGTACAGGGCTTTACAGTCAACCAGAAGGAGGTGACTTAGATCCTCTTCTTTCCAAAGTTTTTCCCAGGTATACACATAACCTTTAAGTACATGCATAGCCCCTTAGATCCCTAGGAGTACACTAAGTTCCCTATGGTTGTCTCATTCTCCAGAATTTCCTTTTAAATTCCCAAAGTAGTTATATCTCTCTATTGTGTGGAATTTGGTTACATTTTGGCTTCTACACCACTGAGCTGAAAGCTGGGAGAGAAAGGGAGAGAGTGTGGGGAGTGTAGAAAGGGACTAGTCACAAGTAAAATGTCACAAAGCCTACTGTCTTACCAAGATTCAGTAATCTCTCTTGGATATATGATTTTCATTTCATTCTGTGGTTTTAGTTAATTGCCAGAGTTCTGAAATTGATTTCAGTTGATTTGCCCATATTATCATTGTTTTAGAGGGAAAGTGAGTTCATCAAAGTCCCTCCTGTTGTTCTTATCTCAAAAGAATTTTTTAAACCCACTCCATCTCATATCCCCCTTGAAATCATGACTTTATTTCTGAATTCTCCTAAGAGCGAAACTCTTCAAAAGAGTTTTTAAAAAAATATTAGCTGTTTATAGACCTTTATTTTATTTCTTTATATGTGGTGCCGAGAATCAAACCCAGTGCCTCACACATGCCAGGCAAGCGCACTACCGCTGAGCCACAACCCCAGCCCTTCAAATGAGTTTTTACTTCCTCTTACTCTTCTCTCTGTTTATTCATGTAAAATATATTAGATATGCTGGGCATGGTGGCACATGCCTGTAATCCTAGCCACTCAGAAAGTTGAGGCAGGAGGATTGCACGTAGGAGGCTAGCCTGGACAACTTAGTGAGACCCTGTCTCAAAATTAAAAATAAAAAAGTGCTAAAGATGTATCTCAGTGGTAGAACACCCTGGGATTCAATCCCCAGTACTGTAAACAAATGAATAAAATGTAGACATATGATAAAAGAATATATATTGTACATATGAGTTATAGTAGTATTATGAAAACTCAGGGACTCACTACCCCACCCAAGAACAGCATTAACGATAGCATCTACCCTTGTCATTTTCTATCTCATCTCCCTGTGTGTCCTTCCTATTAAAATTTCCCACTTTTTTAAGTTTTTTTTTGTTTTTTTTTTTTTTGGTACTGAGGAATGAACCTGGAGTGTTAAACCACTGAGCTACATCCCCACCCCCCTTTTTTTTTGTAGCAGGGTCTTACTAAGTTACTTGGTAACTTGTTAAGTTACCAAGGCTGGTCTCAAACTTGCAATCCTCCTGCCTCAGCCTCCCAAGTCATCCTTAAGTCTTGTGTTTAGCATTCCCTTGCTCTTTTTCATATATGAGGGTTTTTGTTTTTCATATTTGTGAGTATGCTTAACCAATACATGGTTTATTTGACTTAGTTGTGAGCTTTCTTACAATGGTTTCATAGTGGGGTTGGGGATATGGCTCAGTGGTAGAGTGCTTGTCTAGCATGCACAAGGCCCTGGGATCAATCCTCAGCACTGCCAAAAAAAAAAAAAAAAAAAAGAAAGAAATCATTAAAGTAAAATGGTTTCATAGTGTATGTAGTTTTCTGTGACTTCCTTTTTCACTTAGTATTATGTTTCTGTGATTCATTTCTGTTGTTCCATATAGCTGTACTTTGTTCATTATCAATGTATCACATTTCTTAGGGTGGTCATAAAAAAGTTATTTGCCCATTTATCTATTATGGACACTTGGGTCATTTCTAGTGCTGCTGTGAACATTCTTGTACAGGTCTCCTGCTTTACATGCACACCCATTTATCTATCCCTAGGAATGGAATTTCTGGCTAATAGGACATGTAAAAGTTCAGTTTGACAGGATTATGCCTGATGATACCAATTTACACTCCTTTTAGCAATCTATAAGAGATCACATTGATCCATACCTTCATATACTTGATGTTGCCCCACTTATTTTTTGTCATTTTAGTGAGTATAAAATATTTCACTGTGGACTTAATTAGCATTTTCCCAGTTATTGATGTAGTTGAGCATCTTTTCATGGTTATTGGAGACATGGTTCCTTTTTTTGTTAAAGGACTATTGATATCTTTTGTACCTTTAAATTTTTAACCATTTGTATTGATTTGTAGGATTTTTTTTTGGGGGGGGGGTACTAGAGATTGAACCCAAGGGTGCTTAACCATTGAGCCACATTCCCAACCCTTTTTTAAAATATTTTATTTAGAGATGGGGTCTCGCTAAGTTGCTTAGGGCCTCACTAAGTGGCTGAGGCTGGCTTTGAACTCAAAATCCACCTGCTTCAGCCTCTCAAGTCACTGGGATTACAGGCGTGCACCATCATGCCTGGCAATTTGTAGGAAATCTTTATTTTAGATATTCATCGTTTATCATGTATATGTATCAATGTATCAAATATCTTCTTAAAGTTTGTGATTTTGTTCTTTTGTGTGTGTGTGTGTGTGGTACTGGTGATTGAACCCAGGGGTATTTAACCACTGAACTACATCTCTAGGCCTTATTATTTTGAGACAGCATCTCACTAAGTTGTTGATGCCAGCATCCAACTTGTGGTCTCTTGCTTCATCCTCCCAAGTCGCTGGGATTGCAGGTGGGTGCCTTTGCACCTAACAGCTTTTTTTCTTTATTATATCTTTGCATGACCAGAAATTCTTATTTTCTAGTTGAGTTGAATAAATCCATCTTTTCCATTTTATAGCCAGCACTTTGTCTTGTCTTTCCTGACCAACAGTCATATTACGTACTCTTTGTTCTAATAAAGGTTTACCTTTTTATTTAAGTCCTGAATCCAACTGGAATTGATTTTTGTGTGGGTATAAGATATGGAGCTATTTTATTTTCTACATGGATAAACTAATGATCTGAAGTGCCACTTCTTTCATACATCAAAGTTCTTTATAGGTCTGTCTCTGGGCTTTCTTTGCTATTGACCAGATTTTTGTCCTCGAACCAGTACTGCATTACCTTAATTACTTAGCTCCCTTATAAATCTTGATATTTAATAGCACAAAATCTTCCCATCTTATTTTTCTTAAAGAGTATCATATATCCTTGGCACTTTTTATTTCAAACACTTCAGAATCAGTTTATCATGTTCTATAAAAACTTTGGAATTGTGATGAATCTACAGATCAGTTTGAGGAAAATTTATAAGTTTATGATGTTGCGTCTTCTTAGCTATGAACAGAATATATCCCTCTATTTTAAATAAATTCTTGAATATCTTTTGTCTGAGCTTTGTAAGTCTCTGCATAAGATCTTACATATCTTAAATTAGATTTACCCCTTCTTACTTTATGAGTTTTCTGCTTTTATAAATGGGATATTTTTATTTAATATTATATCCATTTTTCAGGTATATGGAAATGAGTCAATTTTTGTTTATTGATATTATTAGTGTTCATCTTACAAAGTTCTATTATTTTTAAGCAAGTTTTTAATTTTGGAGTAAGTTTAGATTTGTAGAAAAATAAGTAGAGAGATAGTATGGAGAGAGAGTTCCTATATCCTCCTTACTATGATACATTTATCAAACTAAGAAAGCAGCATAGATATATTACTGTTAACTAAATATCAGGCTTTACATGGATTTATCAGTTTTCCCATAAATATCTTTTTTTGTTCTGTTCCAGAGTCTAATTCAAAATACCACATTGTATTTCATTTTTATATCTCCATAATGTTCTCTAGTCTATGACAGTTTCTCAGTCTACCCTTGTTCTAGATGACTTAATAGTTTTGAAGATACTGTCCCTCGCATAGAATGTCCCTCAATTTGGAGTTGTCTCAAGTTTAAATGAATATCACAGAGTTTAAATGTCCTTCTTATCCCACCATATCAGGGAGTATATAGTATTCATAGGATATCCCCTGGTGATGTGAACTTCGATCCCTTAGTTAAGGTGGTTTTGGTCAGGTTTCTCCATGGGAAAGTTGCTGTTTTTCCCTTTTGGCATTCTGTTCTTTGGGTGAATCTAGACTGCCTTTAAGGAGAGGAGGAGGAACTAAGCTCCAGTTTCTGAGGAGGGTATATCTATACATATTATTTGGAATTCTTTTGTAAAAATTTATCTCTTATCCTTTATTTTTCCAGTCACTTATTTATATCACTATGATATCATGTATATTTATTTAATAATTTAACTTGATAACCCAATACTCTGTTCTTTGTTTTGTTGCTCAATTTGTTCCAGCTTTACCCACTGAGGACTCTTTCAGGTCTTGCTTCTTTGACGTGTCCTCATTCTTTGTTTTTGAGAACTTCCTTACTTTTTGGCACTACAAGATGCATCAGATTCATGTTGTGTTTTCCTATTCCAATCCTTCAATCAGCCATTTCTCCAAAGAGCTCTGGTTACTTTTAAATTGTCCATTCTTTTATGTTTTATATGTTGACAGTTTATCAGCTATAAATAATGAAAACATTTTTTTCCATTCCATTTTTTTTTTGCCTTTTGTTTATTTTTCTTGTCTTATCGAGATGGCCAAGATATCCAGTACAGTAATGAATAGAAAAGGTGGTAGTTGGCATCTCCATCTTATGTATTTTAGTGAAAACACCACTTTTTCCTATTAACAATGATATTTGCTGTAGGTTTCTATAGGTTTTATCAGGTTAGATAAATTCTATCCTATTGCTCTAAGAAGGTTTTATTTTTTAAATCATGAAAGTGTATTAAGTTTTTTCATCAAATGTTTTCTTCTATTTCTTTAGATGATTATAGATTTTTCCTCCAATAATCTAAAAATCTAGCAAATGATATTTATAGATTTCCTTCATTCTAGAACTTTGCAATTCTATTATAAACATAACTTGGTCATGATCTTTTCCTTTTTATACAACAGTGGATTTTGTTTTCTAATAGTTTGTTTAGTATTTTTGCATCTGTGTTTGTGAGTAAAATTGGTCCTTAATTTTCCTTTCTCTTGCTGTTCTGACTTGCTGTTGGCATTAAGATTCTTCTGGTATCATAGAATGAGCCAGAGTGTTCCTTCTTTTACAACATTTTGGAAGAATGTTTTTGGCCTAGTGTTTTCCTTTTGAATATTGAGTTACTATTAAACTTATAAATTAAAATCTGTAGAAAATTTAATGAAAAAAGTTTTGCTTCCATAAAATGTTTATTTTATATAAGCTACCCCCAAATCCAAACCAAGACTTTGTAACGACTGTTCAGAATTTGAAGAACACATAACCATCAACAAAAAAAAAAAAAAAAATCTTTTTTGTACCAGTAGGTGTTAAAATATTTAACACCATTTTTAAAAGTGTTCAAAGGTGTTTAACAGTTGAAATTATATGTAACAGCTTTTCTTTTTCACTGATATATATATATATATATATATATATATATATATATATATAGTTAAATTTTCTTATGATAATATGAGTAGATTTCAAAGCCAGTTGATCTCTCTCTTATTTAACTATTGCAAAATAATGATGAAGCTCTTATTTGCAGAACATGCATCATTATTAGAATCATCACCCTGCAGCTAGCTTGGACATCATTAGAAGGGCAACAAACGGATAGAAGTATCTGATATTCGGGAAGACAGAGTTTCAGGGCTTCTACCTGGAGCTACACCCTCCAGAAGCCCCTGCTTGGCCACCCTGCACCCAGCCCCATCCTAACCAGTCACAACTTGGGCTCTGCATGGTGCTTCTTGGAAACTGCAACACAGACTCCTCCAGCAGCTCCACATGTCCCTTGTCCTCAAATGAGCAGAAGACTTCAGAAGCTGGCTACTGAAGAGGCTGTCCAAGTGGTAGATCACCTCCTTGGTCCTGCTTAGCACATTTACCACAGAGCAGTAACTGAAAGCTGGATATTGCTTATTTGTGCTTACCACCTGCAGGGACTGCAGAGGGATTTGTCAGACCCCACTTCACTAAGGGCCACTCTCTAAGGATCTCCAGAGAAGGCTAGGATCTCCAGAGAGGTGGTCTTCCTAGGGTCTGCACTGCCTCAGGTCCTACCTGGCTACCTCTAGGGCTGAGGGAACCAGTATCTCTTTACCAGCCTGTAATCCATAAACCAACTGGAAAATTCTGCCTGCTGTTTTTGTTCTTTTGGTATGAAAGAGTTTTAATATACTGCTTCAGTTTCTTAAGTAGTTATAGGACTGTTGAGAATTTCTTTTTCTTCTTGAGTCAATTTTGGTAAAATAGTTTCCTAGGAATTTGTCCATTTTTGTCTACGTTTTTGAATTCATTAGCACACAGTTCCTTTATTTTTTTAGTTCTCTGTATATAATCTGTAGCTATGTCTCCTTTTTCATTGCTAATATTGGTTATTTGTGCCTTCTCACTTTTTTTCTTGATCAATCTCACCAGAGGTTTGTCGATATTATTAGTATTTTCAAAGAACCAGCTTTTGGCTTTGTTGCTTCTCTCTATTGTATCTTTGTTTTCTATTTCTTTAATTTCTGCTCTTATCTTTTTTGATCTCCTTCCTTCCACATTTTTTGGGTTTATTCTGTTATTCTTTTTCTGATTTCTTAAATTGCACATTTGAGCTCATTAATTTTCAATCTTTCTTGTTTACTAATTTGTGCATTTAAGGATGTGAATTTCCCTCCAAATACTGCTTTTCTACAAGTTCAGATATGTAGTATTTTCATTACTGTTCAGTTCTGAGTACATGAACATTTCCATCACCATTACTTCTTTGATCCACGAGCTATAGAAGTGTGTTTTTAAATTCCTTAAATGTTTGGAGATTTAAAATTTTACCTCTTTGTTATTGAAATCTCTCTTAATTGCTTTATGATCAGATGATGTGGTCTGTGTGCTAACAACACTTTGAAATTTATTGAGTCTTGTTTTATGACTTAAACAAGTATGCAATCAACAGTTTTTATTGTTTCCTGTGTGCTTTAAAAGAATGTGTGTTCTCCAATTGTTGAATACAGAGTTCTACATATGTCTATTATCAAGTTTGTTAACTATGTCGTTCAAGTATTATTTTTCTAAACTGATCCTTTTGGTCGTGATCGATTAGTAATTGAAAAAGGCATGTTAGTATTGAATGATGATGGTGGATTTGTCAATTTCTCCTTGTGGTTCTCTCTCTTTTTTGTGGCTTATGTATTTTATTAGGAATATACAAATTAATAATTGTTATATATTTCTGGTAAATATGTAACACCCCTCTCTATTCCTAATAATGCATTTTTCCTCAGAGTCTACTTAATCTTGTATTAATGTAGCAGCACAAACATTTTGTCTTGTTAGGATTTGTGTGGCATATAATCTTCTATCCTTTTAGTGTGGAGCATTTTTGTGTCTTTATGTTTTAATTATATCTCTTGGAAACTACATATAGCTGGACATTTTTAAAAAATCAAAATTATTACCTCTGTCTTTTAATTGAATTTGTTTCTACCATCACACTTTCTTATTTCTGTTTTCTACCACCATTTTCTTTAATTGTTATTTTTTAAATGAATCAATTAATTTCTTTATTTTTGCGGTGCTGGGAGCCAAACCCAGAATCTCACACATACCAGAGTCTCACTCCACCACTGAGGTACATCCCCATTCCCTATCACTGCTTTTTGCATGCTTCATTTTCTCTTTTCTCACCTGCTCTTTTGGTTCTAAGATTTGTTTTCTTACTATATTTTCCCCTCCCTATTGCTTGGATTTCTTTTTCTATTCTTTCTGTGGTTATCCTTGAAATTTTACCATGTGTGTTTAACTTAAACTTCTTTTAAAGTTGAACAGTATTTTAATCCCCTCTTGAAGAATGCAGGAAACTTAGAAACCTTCAATTTTAGTCATTACCCTTCTGACTACATACCATTATTTGCAAATATGTCAGTTTCTTCTTTTTTTTTTGTCCTAACCTCACGATTGTACGTCGTCATCCTCAGTATTATATTACATAGACAGTATTTGTTTGAACTTACATGCATCCATTCTTACATCTCAGACCATCCTTCTAGAATCATTTTCTTTCATTATGAATAGAATTTAAACGTTCTTTTAGCACAAGTCTCTTGGTGTTAAATTTTCCAAATATTTGTTATATGTAAACGACTTTAGTTTATTCTCATTCTTAAAAGATAGTTTTTTACAGTACTTAGAGAGAATATGATCTCGTCCTCTTTTAGGTTTGAAAAGTCTTCTTTGTTGCTGTTAAGAAGTACACTGTTGAGCTAGGAATGTAGCTCAGTGGTAGAGCACTTGCCTAGAATGTGCAAGATCCTGAGCTTAATCTCTAGCACTGCAAAAAAAAAAAAAAAAAAAAAAGAAGAAGAAAAAGAAGCACACTAGCACACTATCAGTCATCTAAACATATTTAGGTATACATTTCTTTTCATGTATTATACATACTTTGGAAATGTGTTTCATGGCTCAGTATATTCATGTTTTTTATAGTTTCTGGGAGATTCTCAATCATTATCTCCTCAAATGTTGTCTCTCTTTCATTCTATTTTTTATTTCTCACAATCTAGCCATTCATATTTTGGATCTCCAATCTGTCTTCCATATCTCATAACGTCTCTTTAATATTTTCTGTCTTCTTGTACTTCATTTTGGGCAATTTCTTCAGATATATCCTTTAGATTTTTCTCTTCTGCTATGTCTAATCTGCTATTCAATCTTTCCATTGAGATTTTATTTCAAAAACTATATTTTAATTAGTACAAGATCCATATACTTTACTTTGTAATTGCTTAGTCATCCCTTGTAGTCTCTTATTGTTTATTCACCTTTGTGATTACATCTGTTACTTCTTCAAATATTTTATACAATTTTCATTCAACTAGTAGTCACTGTTTGCATGAATGTAGTACTGTAAATGTTGTTCGTGTCTAAACCACATAATACATTCTGATTACGTATTCTGTGTTGTATACCTTTTTGTTTTCCTGGGAGCTAATGTTTTGTTTTCTTTTGCCTTAAGTTTTAGTACCTTTTAGAAATTCTTCTCTGAATTATTTTTTAAATCCAAATCAGACATGTCCCTTTTCTGCTTGAAATTCTCCTGTAGATTCCACCTCCCTCAGAACAAGAGCCACAGCCCTTACCATGGCCCAAGTGTACCTACCCAATCTGGTTCCTCTTACCTCTCTGACTTCATCTCTTGTCACTCTCCTCATCACTCATTCTTCTTCAGCCACACTTGTCTTCTTTCTGTTCCTCAAGCATGCTAGGTAACCTCCCTCTGTAGGGCCCTTGTGCTTGCTATTCTCACTGCCTAGAACATCCCTCCTCCCAAATAATCTGATGACTTGCCCAAGTATTTCCATTATGTTCAAATGTCACCTCCCTAGAGAAGTATTTCCTGATCAACATATATAAAACAGCCCCATTCGCCTCCATTTTCTTTCTCCTTACATACTTTGTTATATCTTTCTACGAAGCACTGATCACCACCTGATATACTTTATATTTATTTATTGTGAGTATGTTTGTCTCTTTCCCATAGACTGTAAGCTCCACAAAGCAGGGACTTCTGTTTTGTTCGCTGCTGTATCCCCAGTGCCAAGAAGAGTGCATCGTAATATTTAGTAGACAATAAATATTTGTGGAATAAACTGAATGAATGAATGAGTGAATGACTTTATTAATTAATGTGAAAGAGAGAGAGAAGAGAGAGAGAGAATGAATGAGAATATATATGAGAATGAATATTGCTTTGGGAAGTAGGCTAGGCCTGAAGGACATCCTAAGGAGCTTGGATACCATAGTTCACAAGGTTGGGGGCTGGGAAGAAGGAGTGAGGATAGCTTCTGGGTTATTTTGGGAATCAAGATCTCACTTGGTAATAAAAGCCCCATGTTCTCTATGACTGGCCCTACAATCTAGGGCTCCTGAAAGCAGGCCTGCCTCTGTCTCAACCAGCCCTCAAACTCTTACTCAGTGGAAGCCAAAGCCCCAGATTGCATAGGGATCCTAGCTAGCATTCTCCTTTCTTTTGTCCTCTGAGGAACTGTTTCTTGGTTCTCAAGCCAAGGGATCACCCATGTTAGACTTTCTATCTATGGTACTTGAGGGGAGGGAATAGTGAAGAAGCTGATAAATCTCTGGTAGATAGTTAAGTGCTGGTATAATGATGAACACTAAGTTTTGGACAAAAAGGACTTTTATCACTGTCCAGGTGGTAATGGTCTCTGGGGTTCTAGCCCTGACTTTGCCCCTAACCCCCTTGGGAACTAGCCTGGCTTCACTGTTACTGCCTGTGCATGACTAGATACTAGTTCTGTTGTCTAACATGTGCCCTATGCCCCATCCCCACATTTTTTGTCACCCGCTAATTTCATCAGAATATCATCAATACAAACAGAGCCTTGTGGCATGCTAGTAGAGACCTCTTTCTTCATGCCAGCATTAGTCATTAGCACACTGGGTTTAACCAGTTCAGTTGAGCAAAATTTGACCACTATGTTTTGGCCTTCTGCTGTACATCAGACACAGAAATAAACCAGGGTGTATTCCCAGATACAGCACCATAATTTCAGGGCAGTATGATCAGTACAGTGGTGGGCATAGTAGACTGTAAAACCCCCTAAGGAACACGCAGCCCATCTCAGGAGGCCAGGAAGATTTCTTAGTAGAAATGGCATAGGAAATGAATCTTAAATGATGAGTAGGAGTCTTCTAGTTGATTAATAAGGGGAAGATGGGCTGGGAATGTAGCTCATTGGTACAGTGCTTGCCTGGCATGCACAAAGCCCTGGGTTCAATCCCCAGCATCACAAAAGAAAAAAAAATCAAACAAGGGGAGGAGAGGGTGGTCCAGGCAAAAGATACATCATGGCAATGATCCAAAGACAAGAAGCAACATGGTATGTACCAAGCTGCCTCATGTTTCACCCATTTTCCCAAAAGACCATCCTAGGAGACTTTGATACACACCAAAATTCAGACATTAAGAGTTTGGGGCTGGAGATGCGGCTCAAGTGGTAGCATGCTCGCCTGGCATGTGCGGGGCACTGGGTTCGATCCTCAGCACCACATAAAAGTAAAATAAAGATGTTGTGTCCACTGAAAACTAAAAAATAAATAGTAAAAAATTCTCTCTCTCTCAAAAAAAGAGTTTGTACCCTCCCTGATGTGAAAATCTGATAAATATTCATAAAGTTAGTGAAAAGTTGGTCTGACCTGTCTATGAGCTTAATATGACTATAAGTTTCCAGTATTCCTGTTTTCCTTATGTAGATCATGGAGTTTATATGACTAGCTTCTTTTAGAACTCCCCTAGGTTTAGGCTCACTCCTACTGTCCTGGAGATTATAGAATCTTCCTCAGGCATGTCTTTCTTTTCTTTGGTACCAGGGATTGAACCCAGGGGTGCTTAACCATTGAGCCACATTTCCCAGCCCTTTTTTATATCATATTTAGAGAGAGGGTCTCACTGAGTTGCTTAGGGCCTCACTAAGTTGCTGAAGCTGGCTTTGAACTTTTATCCTCCTGCCTCAGCCTCCTGAGCTGCTGGGATTACAGCTGAGTGCCACCATGCCCAGAAGCCCCATGTTTTTCTGACTCCTGACGCCTGCCATGGAATAGAAACCCTTATCCTTCAGGAAATAGACTGGGCCTTGGTCTTGAGCTTTATTCAGAACCATAATAATCCAGGAGAAGTATGTAGTAGAGTCCAGCAGGCCCTGTTTCAATTTTATTAATTTTTTTGGTACCATGGATTGAACCCAGTGGCACTTTACCGCTAAGCTACATCCCCAGCCCTGTTTATTTTTTATTTTGAGACAGCATCTCACTAAGCTGCTGAGTCTGTACTCAAACTTGCAAATCACCTGCCTCCACCTCCTGAGTTGCTGGGATTACAGGCATGAAGCACCACACCCAGCAAGAACCAGAAACCCTTTGGTATCCAGGGCTGACTTGATAGACGTGAGAACTGCACAGTGGGGCAGGGACCCCACACTTGGTTTAGTACTTCATTGAAGTTCTGCTGTTACATTTTTGGCAATTCTGAGGATCCAACCCAAGGCTTTCCTCGTGTTAGGCAACTGCTCTGCCTCTATGCTACATCCCCAGCCCTCTGGTAGGCCCAGTTTCTAAGCATGGAACTCCTACATCTTGGTTATTTGAATGTAGCTAAGACACCTGCCATCTACCTTGATAGTTGCTGTTGCTGTTAGAGCAGATATACACCTGGCCATTATTTATTGAATACCTACTACTATTGCTATGAAAGGGAGAGCAGTCTAGGATTCAGAGTATGATCTGTAGATCCAGAACAATGTGAATTTGAATTAAAGTTCAACTAGTTATTGATGTGATTTGGATCAAATTTTGTAACACTTTAACCTTAGTAGTTTTAACATTTGTAAAATAAGGTTAATGTACCTACCTCAGAGTTCTTTGTGTGTTATAATAGCACATAACATGCAAGATGGGGCCTTCACAGGCACTAGGCCCCTCCCCACCCTGCCCTCTGGAAAGACTTCCTTCCTCAGCCTCTTCTTCTTTCTATGGCTCTTAAAGAGGACCCCACTTCCCCCTTGAAGTCACAGGGCCACTTTCTTATGGGAACTTCTTGATGGTACATAGCTTTCACATTTGAATTAAACCCAACTTTTTATGTTATATTTAATCTTATTCATTCTGGATTTAGTTTGCTAATAGATTCTTTAGGATTTTTGTGTCTTTGGTCATCTACTGTATTTGTCTGGTCAAAATTATAGTCATCTCATTTAGTAAATTAATGAGTTTTCTAGAATTGGCTCAAATCATCTAAATTTTCAAATTAATTATATTCTCTTATTTTAAAATTTTTGCTATAACTTTTACATTGTTTATAGTATTCATGCATTTTTTTCTCTTTTTAAAATTAGTCCCTCCAGAGATGGTTTTGGTAGTTAGCCTTGACATTTTTTTAAAAGTTTGGGCTTTTTGTACCATTATTTTATTTATTTATTTTTATGTGGTTTTGAGAATCGAACCCAGTGCCTTGCACATGCTAGGTGAGCATTCTGCTGCTGAGCCACAACCCCAGCCCCTAGCCTTGACATTTTACCATACAGATTTAACCTGAAATTTAAAGTTAGACATTACCATAATCCCCACCCAAACAATACAAAAAAATTGTAAAACTCTAATGTCTCCTAACTTTCATATTATTGTGTCTACTATTTTAGTTCTTTAAAGGAAGACATTATCACAGAAAATACACATTAACAATATCATTTTGTGCAGACAGTGTTTAGTTTTAAATATTTGTTTGCACTTTTATTTCCCCATCTTCTAAACCTCAACCCTAACTTTTGGGGATGAGTCTCCTTCTTGAAATATATACTTTAGAAGCTCCTTTAGTGCAGATCACTTAATAGGAAACTCTCTCAGTCTGGGTTTATCTATAAATTCCCTTTTTAAACTTTATTCTTCTTTAAAGATAGATTTTTGGGGGGAGGGGTACCCAATGCTAAATTACCTCTCTTTCTTCTTAACACTTAGAAGATATGGCACTGTCTTCTAGGTTCCATTATTACTGTTGCAAAGTCTGATGTCAGTAGAAATGGTTTTTGCTAGTGTTCTTTTTTCTTGGGCAGTTTTGAAGATCCTTCTTCGATTATAAGTCAACTCTAAGAACTTTTTTGTTGTTGTCCTCTGAATGTTCCTTTTTATAGTATCTTCATCTTGCTTCATGAATGTAATGTTTTTTTCTTGTCACTCTGAAGATATTAGATGATAATGTCTTTTCTGTGTGTTCTTCTCCCTTCTTAGTTTTAGTTTCCAAATACATATATTTGGGTGTCAGCGGTAGTGAGAAACTCTCACTGATGACAGATTTGGCTGCAGGTACCATAAATACCAAAGGTGTAACATATTAGAGGGAGTTTGTATAGATGGTGGGAAGAGGGGCCCCTCTACTAGTATGCAAACAGTAGTCAGTGCCACTGATCTGTCACTTGAGAGCCTTCTAGTGCAGTGGGTTCCAGAGCTAGACTGCCTGGGTTCAAATCCAGATCTGCGACTTCATAGCTAGTCAAGTTACTTAACCTCTATCTTCTTTAGTTTCTTCTTCAATAAAAGTGATAATAATGATAATGCTTACTTCATAGGGTTATTGAAGATAGTAATGAGTTTGTATACAAAAAATGTTTAGAATAGTGCCCTGGTACTTAATAAGCACTGTACATATGTTTGATATTATTACCATTATTACTTTGTGTGTGTTTGTGGTGCTGGCAATAGAATCCAGGCCTCATGCATGCTAGTCAAGTGCTCTACCACTGAGCTACATCCTCAGACCTCCATTATTACTTTAGTGCTGAGAGGATTGAAAGGAAAAGAGTTTCTGTGATGTATTGGGGAAAGCAGAGTATATATATCCTGCCCTATGGGTTCCTCCACTATCTTTGAAACAAATGCCATCCACAAAAAGACAAGGTCTGGAGTCTGAAGCTATTATTTGGACACCTTAGGATGTGGTATGTCAAGTTAATTAGGTAGGCAGAATGGAATACGATTCCTCAGTGGAAAATGGGAAGCAGTATTTAATGGTCGGTCCTTCTGTAGAGACAAGCTGTGTTGGATATTTCCTCACTGGAACAGAGAAATACCAAATGGGGAGAACAGTAACAGAGATAATATAGAGTAAGAGGATTTCCTAAAATTTAATAATGCTTTTTTCTTAGGAGCTAACCTGTAGATACTGTGATGATTCTTCAAGTTGGGGATACACCACAGTTAAGGGGAAAGGCTGCTGCCAGGAGTTAATTCATTTTAGAGGTAGGATTAACCACATCAAAAATGCTTTCAAGTCTTTGTTCTAAATACTCTTCTCTAAGTTTAGGGCCTTCTCTAAGTTTGGGGAAAGTCTTACCTCAATCACTGTCCCATACAATCTAGATGATACAAACAGGAGGACTGGGTCATACTGAAAGTAGGTGCCTCATGGGGAAGCAAAATTGAGGAAACATTAGGGTTAAAAGTGAAATTTCATGAGATATAAAATTTTAAACAAAATTTTATCGAATCTAATTATGTATGAAAAAAATAATATACAATGACCAAGTTGTGTTTATCCCAGGAATGAAGGGTTGGTTTAACATTAGAAAATCAATCAATACCATTCACCATATTAACAAGCTAAAAAAACAAGACTCATGATCATTACAATAAATACAGAAAGAGCATTTGATAGAATCCAACATCTATTCTTGTTTTTAAAAAGCAAAAAAACGAATGAGGGAACTAGGAATAGAAGGGAACTTCTTCAACTTGATGTAGGGTGCCTACCCCAAACCCACAGCTAACATGTTTCATGGTGAATGACTGAATGCTTTCCCCCACATGATCAGGAATAAGACAGGGATGTCCCTTCCTACCATCTCTATTCAACATTGTATTGGAAGTTTTCACCAAGTGATCAGGCATGAAAAAGAAATAAAGGGATTCAGATTGAAAAGGAAGAAGTAAAACTGTAGGCAACATAATGGTCTATGTAGAAAGTCCAATATAATCTACTGAAAAAAAAAGAACCTACTAGAACTACTATTAAGATGAAGCATATAGCCAGGCATGGTGGTACACACCTGTAATCCCAGTGGCTCAGGAGGCTTGTGAGTTCAAAGCCAGCATCAGCAATTCAGTGAGGCCCTAAGCAACTCAGTGAGACCCTGTCTCTAAATAAAATACAAAAAGGGCTGAGGATGTAACTCAGTAGTTAAGCACCCCTTGGTTCAATTCTTGGCACCAAAAAAGAGTTGAATAAAACAATTGTATATCTATTAACTTTACATTACTACAAAGAAGTATACGAGGCAACTAAAACTTTATAAAGAGAAAAGTTTATTTAGCTCAGAGTTCTGAGGATTCCAGTCCAAAATCAGATAAACCCATTTCTTTTGGGCCTCAGATGAGGGTACTGGATGACAATGGTGGGGTACACATGTCAGAGAAAACTACTCACATCATGAACCAGGAAGCAAAGAGAGACAAGACTGGCAGGTCCCCCAATTCCTTTTGCAAGCACATTCCTAGTGACCTAAGGACCTCCCATAAGGTACTACCTCTGAAAGGTTCATAGAACCTTCCAATAACACCACCTTGGTGAGATATACACACGTACCTTAGGGGATACTCATCCAAACCATAGCAATACTATGTACTAGCAATAGATAATTGGGCATAGAAAATTTAAATAATAATAATATCTAAAAATTATATATAAATCTGATTGCTTAATTCCAGAAATTTGGACCAGCTGAACAACATGGGAAATCCCATCTCAAAAAAGTGGGGGGATAAATCTGACAAAAGATGTAAAAGACCTGTACACCTGTGTGTTACCTTTCCATAGCTAGACCAAAATACCTGAAGCAATTAGCTTATAAAAAAGAAAAGATTTAATTTGTCTCATGATTCAGTGAGTTCCATTCTAAGATCAGGTGCCCTCCCCATTGCTTTGGGCCTCTGGCAAAGCTGCAAACTGTGGCAGGAGCACATGGCAGAGCAAAATGACTTACATCACAAGCCAGAAACAAAGAGACAAAACCAAGAAGAGATTGGGGTCCCACAATCTCCTTTGAGGATACAGCTCCAATTAAATAAAGACATTCTACATGGCCCCACCTCCCTATAGTGCTACCGGGAAGATCAAGATTTTAACAGGGGACACATCCAAACCATAGAAACCTGTACTGCTGAGAGAAAGGAGCAAAATAGATGGAAAATAGCATTCACAGGTCAGAAAACTTAGTATTGTTACAATGCCAATTCTTTCCAAATTCATCAATAGATTTGGTATAATCCTTATAAAAATATCAACAGGTATTTTTTGCAGAAATTGACAAGATGATCCTAAAATTCATATGGAAAGGCACTACAGAACTTGGCACAGAGTATAGAAACCCTGTTCAGGGTCCAGCCTTCCCACAATATCAGGACTTATTAGTAGATCCATACAGAGAAGAAAATCAGTGGAGAGGTCTCTATTTGCAGACAGTTCTGCAAAGGATTTGAACAAACAATTTCCTGAAGTGGAAACCCCACTAAAGGCATAAGATGCTGAAATGCATGAGTTATGAGGAAAGTATAAAATAAAAGTACAATGAGATTTCACTTTAGATCTTATAGACAAAATTTTGAAAAGCTGGATCATGCCAAGTCCTATAGTAGGGATATGGGATCCTCATGTACTTCTAGTGATGGTGAAGACTTTGACAGTCAGAGATGAACATGGTGGTACATAGTCAAATTCAGTATCTCCAGGTACCCTCTGAAGAAATTCTCACACAGATCCATAAAGGGTCACGTAGGAGAAAGTTCATTATTGTGTGATTTGCAACAGTGGGAAGTTTGGAGGCCTGCTGTGTGTCCATTAATGGGGGGGGGTACATGGGGACAGTGATGGATGCACTCTGTAGAAGGCCTCTTAGCAGTTGGAGCAAGACTTCACCATGTAGTACTGAGTGAAATGAAACAAACCATGTTACTTAACATTATTCATATAAGTCACAGATACACACATATATACCAAACATACATCTTCAAGAAGTCACACAAACAAAAAGGATATAAGTTAAGCACATTCAAAAGATCCTATGTGGTGTGGGTTAGGGGAGGAATGGGAGTATGGATAATAGGGAATAAATAAAACAAAAAGGAGAGTAAAAGATAAATAGAAAGTAGATACAGTTGGCCCTCTGCATCCACAGGTTTCACATCCAGGTATTCAACTAACTGTGGATAGAAAATGTTTTTAAAAACATCCTATCTTTACTGAATGTGTACAAATTTATTTTCTTGATATTATATTCTGTGAACAATTCAATATAACAACGGTTTACATAGCATTTACATTATACTAGATATTATGGGTAATTTAGAGATGACTTAAGGTGAACGGGAGATGGGCTGGGGAGTGTTGCTCAGTGGTAGAGCACTGGCCTAGCATGTGAGAAGTCTTGGGTTCCATCCCCAGCATGTTAAAAAAAATTAACAAGAAGTTAAGTACTTGGGAGGATATGTGTAGGTTCTATGCAAGTACTATTCCATTTTATGCAAAGAACTTGAGCATCTGTGGATTTGGGAATTCATAGGAGGTTCTGGAACAAATCCCTTGCAGATTCCAAGCAATAAATGTTTTCCTAGGCCTATTTACCCATTTCCCTTTGGTATTTGTCCTTTGGTATCTGTTGTTCAATAAAAAGGAAATAGAAACACATATCTTCTGTTGACCTGAGGCCAGAATGCCCAGGTGGGCCTGCCTCAGATGAGTGTCTTAACTAGTCTTGACCCCTCCTCTCAGCACTGTAGTTGCTTGGGACAGGTGTGGACATGATGTCACCTCACAGCAGTTCTATGCTGTGATCTACTGAGGATGGGGGCTGTTCATGGGGAGATTAGAAATGGGAAAGTTTAAAAAAGAAATGGGAAAATCAGAGCAGCCCAGTTCCTGTCTAGTCATAAAGTTACCAGATAACTATTTTTTTCTCTTTTTGGGGGTAGCAGGGATTGAACTCAGGGACACTCAACCACTGCACCACATTCCCAGCCCTATTTTGTATTTTATTTAGAGACAGGGTCTCACTGAATTGCTTAGCACCTCGGTTTTGCTGAAGC